CAGTTAAGGTACAATTGGCTCATATGGAAATGCAGGCCTCCTAAAAGACAGCTGAAAACAAGGGAATGGTAAAAATGGTAAAGCTCCATATGGTTGTATTGTGTGTTACATATGCTTTTTTAAAATGCATTTCCCAGTGTTTTTTTATGCATAACTTTCCTCTGAAGTTGGAGTTGAATTTACTGTGTTGTTTTTTTTTTTAAGCTCATGCAGTGTATTGCTTGAATTTTTTGTCAATCCTTTTTTTTTCTTTGTCAATCCAATTCAGACATCTCATTTGAATACCTTGAATGGCATCTCAGTACAAATGCAAATACCTTCTTCAAAATAATTCCTGTCTTTTGCTTGGTAAGAACTGAAGACTACAAAAATAGGAACTTGATGGGCCATAGTAAAGGTTGTTTGGGTGATTTTTTTTTTTTTTACCATTCAATTTCTCAATTTTGAAACTCCATATCTAAGAGATTTCTTCTATTTCGATTATATGTCTATTATTCTTTTCCTGCTCAGTTGTGGGCAGATTCTCAATTCTAACTTGGGCCTTTTGAAGGTTTTTTTTTTTTAAATAAATACAAGTTTATAATGTATTTTTCTATAATCTGAACATTTTAAATCACTGCTTTTCAAGAAACTACATTCCTTAAAAATCTTGGCAAAGATTTGTGACGTAGAAATGCACGGGCATATTTATCTAATGGATGACTGGCCTTAAAGCTCTGTATGGTCAACAAATCAGTTGCAAAGGTTGTGGTCAGCAGTGGGATTTCACTGGGGCTCCAAGAACTGCAAGGTTATGTCCTGAGGGTGGGCTCAGCAATCTCTGCTCTGCTGACAGCCTGGAGCCCTGTGCCCAGTCCCCAAACATGGCTTGGAGCCAGCTGTGAGTTGCTCCTTTCTGGCCCCAAATTTTGCTTTTCATTGTTCACTCCCAGCTGAGGAAGTGCTCGTTTTGTGTAGTTCCTGTCCAGCTTCCAACATAGTAACATTTCTTTGTACAAAAGCAGTGTCGTTGCTCCAAAATTGGAGTGATTTTTTTTTTTTAAAGATCACGAATCCATTTGATATTTTTCTTAGCTGACTTGCTTATTTTTTTGTGTTCCATTCCTTTATTTTGGAGTTTTAACAAACTTGTTTTTGGCAGGAAGAGATGAAATAAAGCCAAATGGTGTTTGAAATAAAATACTGAATGAATAGTATATTCCATGTAAAACATACAAAGCTTGCTCTGGTGCCCTCCCCACTGCTGGGCTATTTGTCTTTGTGTTGCCCGTTCCATAATGGAATAACAGGAAGTAGTCACCTCAAGTTAAACCCATGTATAGTTTTAGTGACCATTAATGTACCACAATGGATTCATTACTTTGTGGATTAGAAACTGGAATCAGCTTAGTCAAAACTTTAAAGTCTACCAAATCCTATCTGTCTATCTGTTCCTTTCTATTTCTGTAGCAAAAGCAAGTCTCTACAATAATGGTATTATTTTTAGTTGCCCTGAGGTGTTATATATATATATTTTTTTAATTAATGAAGCAAGGGTGTTGTGCAGCTTTGTGATTTGGGAAATATGGAGTTGAAAAAAAAAAAAATACAGTAAAAAAAAAAAGATTTGCCAACTACTTCTATATTTTAAAAATGTTTTCAAAAGCTGTTGTATAATAGTTTCTTTATTCTTCTCTTTCCTGGAGTAATGAACCCAATGAAATGAAACATTTTCAAAAACTTTCTGAAAATGTTTTGAATTGTGACAGAAACAAAATGCAAACACTGGTTTTTCTCATACGGTTCCAAGGACTGTGCAGTTTTGTTCAGGCTTAGTAATGACAAATCCTTTGTATAATAATTTAAATCTTAAATATCAGAATATACCTGAAAAACGTTAGAGCTAACTGTCAGGTGCAATACTTACAGAATCATAGAATCATAGAATGGCCTGGGTTGAAAAGGACCACAATGATCATGTAGTTTCAACCCCCTGCTATGTGCAGGGTCACCAACCACCAGACCAGGCTGCCCAGAGCCACATCCAGCCTGGCCTTGAATGCCTCCAGGGATGGGGCATCCACAACCTCCTTGGGCAACTTGTTCCAGTGTGTCACCACCCTCTGTGTGAAAAACTTCCTCCTAATATCTAACCTAAATCTCCCCTGTCTTAGTTTAAAACCATTCTTAGACATTCTTAGACATAAGGAAGAACTTTTTCTCTCAGAGAGTGGTCAGGCACTGGAATGGCTGCCCAGGGAGGTGGTGGAGTCGCCGTCCCTCACAGTGTTTAAGAAGCCTCTGGATGAGGGGCTGTGAGATTTGGTTTAGTGCTTGTGGTAGCAGTGGTGATGGGAGGACGGTTGGACTAGATGATCTTGTAGGTCCTTTCAAACCTTGTGATTTCCCCCTTGTCCTATTACTTTCCAAAAGAGACAAAAGTACTTTGGTGTAAGTAACATCAAACTAATTATGTAACTTTCAGAAGTTTGTGTAAATGTTTACATAAACATATGGGATACATTATCAAGTTCATTTGCAGAATGTTTCCCTTTTCAGCATTGAAAGATGTACTTTCCTTCCTGGAATTTTCAAAGGCACCTAGAAGCTCCCAGGCTTCCTTCTCACCTGCATCATGTACAGATGCTCCTTTTTTGATTGAATAAAGCTGAGTATTAAATAAGAGTATTAAATAAAACATACAGCTTTTCACAGAGTCAGAGTCATAGGGATTGGAAAGGACCTCTGGAAATCAGAGAATCCAGCCCCACATTTCCTACAGTATGTTCCACAGGAAATCATGCAGGCAGGTTTTGCATATCTCCAGAGGAGACTCTACAACCTCTCCGCCTTGCTCAGCAGATATAATTCTGTTCTTATTGTTATTTAGGAAGCAACAAGAGATATAATACTGTTGAAATGAACTAAAACCTATGATAACTTGACAATAATAAATAATTGACTTCCTTTGTTGTAAGTTAATTGAATTTCTTTGTTGTATACACATTGTGTCTAACACCCCAGTGTCCTAAGTGATAACAGGGAGGATTTTATCTGCTATCAGCTGTGGGTATTTTGTTTTGTCTGTCTTCACATTAACAGTCTTGAAGCCCTTGAGAACAAAGGATAGCAATAAGAACAATTTTTAAAATGTAAAAATTGTAATAAAAATAATAATAAATAATTTTACTGTGTTCTTTAATGTCTGTCAGAGGAACGGGATCAATCTAGATGCTCTTCCATTTCTTGGAAGTCCAAGACTTTTTCTGGGATAAGGAAAGAGTAGTGTCAACAGATCATTTAATTTGATGTGAAAGGAAATAAGAACAGAATTGGAGCTGGGGCCTGGGTGGTAGGCAGCAGTGTTAGTAGCATAGAGAGAAGTAACACTGTTGTGTTCCCAGTCTTAGCTGTGTGTATCACTTTCAGAGAATCAGAGCAAGAGTAAGGCCATTCCTCATATACCACCCAGGTCCCTGGAGGTACTTGTCAGCCTAGGGCTGAGTTCCAGTTTACTCTTCAGAACCACCCTGCTCCATCCCTGCTATGGGATGAAATGATAGCGATGGTGTGGGGATGTCACTACAGAAAGTGTGGCTTAAAAAAGGGGAAGCTTTTCTTTGAGACCAGATTGTAAAGTAGGAAGATCTGGTGTACAATTCTTAGTCATAACATGTTGGTCTTCTGTTGCTAGCTATATTTATTATCAGATATTATGGCAGCAAGGTAGGGAACCTGTGTTAAGTTTTTTTCAGAATGCCACACATGGGAAACAGAAAACAGGAGAGGATTAAGCACTGAAACAAAGGATCATTGAAGAGCTTTCTTCCACTTTAAAGAAAGGGTGGCATTCACAGATTTCCTATCTCTTGGTTTGATTGCAGAAGTGAAGGAAAGTAGAAATAGAGATAATGCTGCATCTAGCCACCATCAAAGTCTCCTAAGACAAAGAAGAACACTTCAAGCATTGCTGTATTATAGTAACTTACAGGTGAATAATTTTGACAGAGGTGCTCAATTCAACCATGTTACCATTTGAGTTAGCAGGACTGCTCTCCCTTTATGCACTTGTGGGCTATTGCTGTTGTCTTGGTCAAGTTTGGAGTAGTGAGACTGGTTATTGTTGGAAGTGAAGCAAAGTGGAGGCTGACAAGGGGAATGGAGAGCGATGAATTGCAGTTTGTGTTGCAGGAAACAGGAAAAACACTAAAAGTGATAAAACTTTCCTAGTGGTAATAGTTTTGAGCTGAAACTGCACCTGTGTACAGCAAACTGAGCCTGACATGGCAAAATTAAGATTTTCAAGCTTCTGCCAGCTTGTTCACAAAAGCAAAATTATTTTTATGAGCCTGAAAAGGTGAGATGCTCTAGAAGTGTGTTTGCTAAACTTTGGATCCTTTACCTTCTTGCACTTAAAGTAAGCTTCAAAAGAAGCACTGAAGGAGCAGGGAAGGAAGCTTGAGCTAGTGGCAACAAAGATACAAGGGGATCAACAAGATCGATTTTTCTTGTATCCTTTCTATCAGACATCTTTTGTTGTTTTTGTTTGTTTGCTTTGCTTAGGCGTATTCCTGTTCCTTCCACTTAAGAGATGATCATTCTCCAGATCGCGTTATCGGTCTGATTGTATGAATGACTTTTGTGTTGTTTCTGATGATAGAACAGTTGTTCTTGCGTATGTCTGTTTTTGTATCGGTCTTGGGACGCAGTATTTGAGCTTTGGAGTCTTTACTGGGTTGTGGTTTCAAGTATTTTCTCAGCATATCGAATCCTGCAAATAATTACTTTTTATTAGATCAAATAAATTTTAATTGAATGTTTGCTCTTTTGCATACAGTCTGTTCCATTTCAAAGTTCTAAAGGCTAGGGCTAGTTTTATTTTGTTTAATAAAACATTGGCTTTATTTGTTGTCTGGCTTTAGGATTGTATTTATTTCCTTTTATTAATAAATAAGCATAATTTTTCAATATGTGTATTTCTGATGGTTAAAAAAATGTGTTTTCTCTCTTTCTCTTTTCAGATCTATCAAAGAACAGATTAACTGAGATTCCTACGGAATTGTGCCATTTTGTGTCACTGGAAACACTAAATCTATACCACAACTGTATTAAAATTATACCAGATGCCATAGTGAACTTACGAATGCTAACTTACTTAAATTTGAGGTAAGTTTGTTTACCACATTTTCTGTTTAATTGCGAATATGTCAGGAGTTTTTGTCTGCACTTTATGTTCTTGGAACAGTTGACTACATTTTTCTTTTTATTGCAAACCATAATCCAAAAAAATCATTGCTTGTAGATGTAGCTCTCTATATGAAGATGCTGTAAGGGCTAAAATGGAAAACTTAGTTATGTAAGGATGGACTAAGTAACATGCATCCTCTTCTTCCCTTTATTCTTTGAACAAATTGAGAATGCTAATTAAAACAGCATGGTTGGATTCTTTTCATTCTGACTTGATAATAAAAAATGCGAAGTTAGGTATGCTTATTGCAGGGACAGAGGATCAGTGCTTTCCTCAAGGGAGATGGACAGGAAAAGTGATTTTTATCACTAACATCCTCCTCTTATGACAGATTTATAATTGCTACCTTTTTTAGGAAGAAGTGACAGAGAGTTAGACATCTCTGTCTCTCTTCCCGGAAAACTGTTCATGAATACTAATCAATATTGAGAATGTCTATTGGTTAAAGTGCAACTGAAGGTGTTTTTGCGTTTGAGAGAGGATATATGTCAGCACTTTTTCATCTGGGACAAGGCACGGAGGTTTATTTGCAGTTAAGTATATGTAGAAACTGTAATAATAGATATAATAATATGGGATTTAAGAATGAGGTTCATGTGCCATGGAATTCTAATTTTGGTTTTTAAAACTGAAACAGAATAATGTGTCCTGAGTACATAGAAACACAGAATCACTCGGGTTGGAAAAGACCTTAAAGATCATTGAGTCCAACCACAACCTAACCATGCTACCCTATGCATACTACCCTACTACATGCACGCATGTGAAGAGTAGGACTTATAAATTGGAAGTAGTGTTACAGTTATGCATAAAGAAATTAAGATTGGATGAAATCAAATTTGCATAAACATCTCCATAAATTTATGAGTTAGAATTAATTGTCTCAGTGTAGTGATGGAATGTGAATCATCGCAAACTCATAATACTCAAAAGTTGCTATCAGATATCACATTAAAGTTGGACATTCTAAACAAATGGAAAATTTACAAGTTTCACTAATTAAAGATGCTTCCCTCAACTTAAAATCTCCTGAAATAATTTTCTCTTCACTTGGACATGACCTCCCCCAACACAAGTTGAACACAGTAAGCAATCTGTCGAAGAGAGTTTGATTTTGTAGCTATGTTACTTCCTGGCAAGAAAAAGACAGCCAATCTAAAATGAATATTTCTGTGTCTCATATCAGGAAAGCCCAGATATTAAACCGAGCTAGAAAGTAATGCCAAGAGATGAGTGGTATCCACAAAAGCACCGAAACTATATATGAGTTTTATTTAAGGAAATTGTTTTTAAGCAGTGTGCTTGGCAGAGGTGTCTCACTTGGCAGAGGTGTTCAGGGAAGCCTGTGAGTGTTTTGGAGCTGATCTTGTTTTGTTAGGCTCTAATTTGAATAAAGAAATATATGGCATGATAAGTAATACCTTCTCTTAAAGATTAGGTCCTATATTCTGCTTGTTGGAGAATGCTGTTCTTCTCTCCTATGTGTCCCAAAGCACTGCTAATGAAAAATGCAATGGAAAGCACCCTATAAAATCTTATTTTTGTTGTATGACTTAGTCAACTTCTGGGTGTAATCATCTGAAACATTTTCCCATGAAGTTAAAATAAATCATTTTTAGTATCACGGAATCATAGAAATGCAGGGGTTGGAAGGACCTCAAGAAATCATAGTTTGACCCTCCTGCTAAAGCAGGTATCCTACAATAGGTCACACAGGTAGGCATCCATATAGATCTTGAATGTCTCCGTAGAAGGAGGCTTTACAATCTCTCTGGGCAACACAGTTCCAGTGTTCTGTCACCTTTACCATGAAGTAAAGGGTACTACATAGTACAGAACAGTCTTGTAGTGTAAGGTTGTTGCAGTCTACCCTTTTTTTTGTTTGTTTTTTCAAATGATGAAGGAAAATATTTTGAAGTATGTGGTCTATAGGTTACAGGACAGGGAAATAAGTTTTTACTTGCTCTTTTAACACTTAAATGAACTTTGTGAGATATTAAAGATGTACATTTTTTCTTGTTCTTTGGTTTTCACATTACCAAAATGAAAAAGAAAGTTGTTCCCAATAGAGCGAAATGTTTGTTAGGTAGTCAGAATACAATGATAAGTAATAGCAGTTTTTATGAATTGATGCTAAATTGAATTGTTGCCTGGCTACCTTCTATCAAATTAGGAAAGGGATAATGTTATGGCTTATATTCATTTATCAGTGAACAGGAAGCAGATCAGGAGCAAAAAGGATGCATTTAAAAAGAGTATATTTTTTTTCTTGTGGACTTTGACTCCTTACAAAAATGTTCACCACTAAGTTTGGGATGTGTGTGAGGTTGGAGGAATAACAAGTACAAAGTGATCTTCAACTATAAATGTACTATAAAAGAAATAGAGAAAATAACCAGTTAATCTGGAATTCTGTTTTTGTTCATTTTCAGGTTAACTAAAAGCCATATAGAGTAGACTGTAGTGAAAATATAGGAATATTGAAATACCTGCTAAGTACTGCCTCAACTGAGCTTTTGGTGTTCATTAGGAGGGGAAACAGATGAAAATCACTGTTAAATTGTTGTTAAAGTGATATAATACTTTTTTATTTTTTTCCCCCCAGAGTGGTAGTTCTCCACAGTACTGTTTAGTCAGTAATGCAGGTATTTTTGATCTACAAATGTTTTCCTAAAGATTGCAATTCCAAAGCTTGTGTGTGTTATCTGCAGGAAATCTGACTCATCAGAATGAAGGGGTTATACAACTAAAACTTCATGCAAGTATGCAGTAGAATGTCATTGGTGTTCTTAATGGTTGTTTTCTTTCTTTGTTTTGTTGCAGTCGAAATCAACTTTCTTCTTTGCCAGCTTGCCTGTGTGGTCTTCCTCTAAAAGTCTTAATTGCAAGTAACAATAAGCTAGGTTCCCTTCCAGAAGAGATAGGTCAGCTAAAGCAGTTAATGGAACTGGTATGTTACTGATTTTGCTATTTTGTTTTTATTTGTATTTAGGTAGAATCATTAAAATAATATTTGCAAAGATGTTGGAACAAATGCCTCATACTATAATGCAAGTTTTTAACTTCTGAAGTGTATTGAGTAGTAACAGTAATTCTCTTTTTTCTTTGCTCTTCAAGACCATTCTAAGCAACGTTTCTGCCTTTGTTCATTCAAAACTCATCTTCTATGTTTAATTTCTTCACCTGTTGTACTGAGTACATGCTCTGGTACCTCATTTTGCTGTATTTCAGGTTCTGGCATCAGGTTCTGCAAAGCTGTACTGTCATCCAACACCACCTCTCTTCTTCCCTTCTCCCAGTGCTGTCTGCTTACCACGTTGCATTCTGCTAATGAAGCTGATCTTAGCAGTCTGTCTGCATTTTGTTTCACTATTTTTGTCATGCAACTTTGCTCAAACATCTGTCTTAACAGATTTACAGACAATATTCCTCTTGGTTTTTCAAAGTTGACTGGATGACTACTATTTCTGCATTGCATCTGTAATACACTGTCTAACAAATGAGAATCAGATAGTGCAGAAATTATTTGATACTTAACTTAAAGTTTATTTAGTTATACATAATTTTAGAAACAATATATATGAAATTATGTATATAAGTGCTTCCCTTTTCTCCCCCTTTATCTACATCTTTTTATGTTGTGTGCTTCCTGAGCTGTCTCTGGCACGTGAGTAATGCCTTGTGATTGTTTCTGTTCACCTTGACCTTTCAGTTGGCAAAGTTTTCTGAAACTGCTAGTTTATACAGAGCAAAACAATGAATGTGAACTTTCTCCCAGCTGCTGGCATCACCATTGGCTGCATTTATCGTGTGCCTCTTGTTGCTATCAGAAAGTACCATATTGACATTTTTATAATAATAATTTCTCCACTGAATTCTGTTGAGCTAACCTTGCTTCAGGAGCCAGTGCTGCTACTGAGTCCTCATATATGAAGCAACAACTATGGGGCTTTCTCCTTTCTTCACTTTTTCTTGTATAACACTTTATGGTGTCAGACATACTATTTATTGTAATCACAGAATCACAGAATTGCTAAGGTGGGTAAAGACCTTCAAGATTATCAAGTCCAACCACAATCTGACCATACTACCCTAATTCTAACAACCCTCTGCTAAATCATGTCCCTGAGCACCACATTCAAATAGTTTTTAAACACATCCAGGGCTGGTGATTCAACCATCTCCCTGGGGAGCCTATTCCAGTGCTTAACAACCCTTTCTGTAAAGAATTGTTTCCTGATATCCAACCTAAACTTACTCTGGTGCAACTTGAGACCATTTCCCCTCATCCTGTCACCAGTGAGAAGAGACCAACCCTGCTCTGGCTGTAAGCACCTTTCAGATATTGGAAGAGAGCAATAAGGTCTCCCCTCAGCCTCCTTTTCCCCAGGCTAAACAGCCCCAGTTTCTGCAGTGTCTCTCATAGGTCATGTTCTCTGAGCCCTTCACAAGCCTTGTTGTCCTTCTTTGGACTTTCTCCAGCACCTCAGTGTAATGAATCTGGTTTGGGAAGGGAAGTAGTTATCCTCTATATCAGTTTTGTTCTATTTTACTGATTTTTAGTAAGTAGTAATAGTTTATCTAGCAGTATTTTTCTTAAGGGATTTAATCAGGTTACTGAAATTGTTTTGATTGAATTACCTTCAAAAACGTGTCAGATTGTAGCACTGTTTCTATTGTGCTTAAAATAGGTTCAGTAAGAGATTATAGGTTCAGTCTTATTTACGGCTGAGCAGTACTAAACACATCCTAACTTAGGGGATGGAATGACTGGACAGAACTGTTAAACTGAAGGAGTGAGTAACAATTCTTGTTAGATTACGCATATTTCTGTTCAGATGCCCTCATTACTTAGGTTGGTTCTACCACGAGTACTTTGAACATTTCCAATGAAATAGGTTGCATTATTATGACTGAACTGTGATGAAGCACTGAATTGAGAGCTGTATCTGGATTGTTATATTTACCATCATGCAGCTTAGATAATAAGGTGGTTGTTATTCTAGAACTAATAGAGGGGAAAAAAAAGATTAGATCATGCTGCAGTTGTTGCATGAAATGTTCAGCTGTGTGAGAGGATTGCCAGCCTGAATAGCATGCAGGTGACACTACCAAACAGCTCTTTGGCAGGGTATGTTCTTGTTTTGGGACACACACAATACTGATGGTGATCTGGCCCAAGAGATCAGTCCTGAGAGGTGGCAGACACCAAATGCCTGCATTCAGTTCTTGGTTTACCAGCACTTTGGCAAGCATCAGATTTTCAGTGTTTTACAGCTTTTTTTAGGCTGCTTGCAGTAAAATCTGAATGTACATGGCAAATGGATTTTCTTTTTTAATCTAACTTTTGAAACAGGTTTTACTTCTGTGGTCACTCTAGAAAGGTAACAGCAGTTATGCTGCAGGTTAGGTCAGGTCTTCCCAAATAATAGTTTTCTTCCTTCTCTTCTTTTTTTATTGTATTTTTATATTTAGAAACGTTTTGTAGCTGTGACATTGAATGACTGGTACATTAATTAATGTTAATTTTTACATTTTCTTTTAAATTGTAGGGTAGGGTTCTTCTGTGTAGTTCAATAGCTGTCTTAAAGGCATTGAGCTACATGCCACAGAAGTTGCTGTTAAACTTCAGGGAGCCTTACTTTTCTCTAATTGTGAGAAATTATCCATGTTGTCATGCCAGGAAGTAACCAATGAGGACATAATGATGTTAATGCAAGAAGCCTGACCTTCAGCAAAAACTAGCCCTGTAACCTGAGTAGTAGTTTGGACTTGATTTCAACTGTCTGTGGATGCCCATCAAGTGAAGTTCCAAACTGCTAATTGCCACATTTCTCCAAAAATATAATTGGCTTGAAAAACACAGGCATTTGACTTTGGCAATAATGAAAGCAATACTATCAAAGTAATAGGGAAGTTTAAGGTAAACACTGTCACATATATACACATGAAGTATAGTAAGTATAACTGGAATAGCCTTCTCTATGCATAGTAGTAAAAAAAAAAAAAAATAAAAAAAAAATCTGAAGTTGGATTAGTAGGATACAACCATCTTTAGAGCTCTGGTGAATACTGACATGCTGTCATAAGAGATTAGTCTTTTTGTGAATGTTTTGAGGCTGTGCACTGTCAGACATTCCTTTTGCACTTCCTTTAAAACTCTTTTCCTGACTTGTTCTGATGTGCACATAAGTGTACTTGATCTAGAGTTTCTCTACCACAAGGTGACTTTCAATTTCAATTTTTTGCTCTAAAGATGAGTATCTAATTATAAACTCATTTAAAGTTTGTAAATTGAAAATAGGACAGTAAAGCTTTAAAAATAAATGATCTGGGAACATTGCAATTAACAGCATTGTAGTTTGGGTAAAAGAAGCACTTGTTAACTGGTGTTTTTAATTTCCTTGTCTTAAAGCTAAAATTCCCTGACTCTGTTTTGACAAGGGAAGGAAATTTTGGCAACAGTGAGATGATGAGAAGAAACATGTCTGATAAAAAGAATGTCTGACTGACTGACTTTTAGGAATTCTGTAGTTGAAGAGCTCCCATGTGCTGTACAAATCCATCATCTGAAACAATCAAGAATGGGCAAGAATCCTCTGAAAGGGGTACAGAAGGATTTTACCCTTAATCTGTTGGGGAAAATTTGGCATTACCCCACTTGGCTCTCATATGATAGAGGGCTTTTTCTATTTTCTATTCAGAAAGTAACGTGACTGAAGCTGACAGATTACCTGGCATTTGGCCACAGGTTTCAATGCACTTCTGATTTCATGCTGAGTTTAGACAGTTTGGCAGTTAAAGTGATAGCTAATATGTGATAACTATCTTGTTTTAGACTGACTTAATCCAATAAATTGATTTTTATTTTTTTAGAATGAATTCATGGCAGTTTTTTGTGATAACTCAATAGCGATAATATCATAAAAATATCATACTTCACAGTAATGCTGGTGTATAGGGAATGTTTCCTTAAAATAATACTCACTTGTTTAGCAACATTCAACACTTTAAGCTAAACTCAACTTTACAGCAGTTATTCCTTTGGAAATGCTAAAATGACCGTAGGTTCCAAGACTCTAAAACCAGCTGAATTCAGCCCTCAAAATCAGACCTGCTTAGAACCTGTCTAGGCTTGTAAGAATGAGCTGTTACAGTAATATGTTAAATACCTTGTAATTACTAGCAAAGCGTACCCTATTTTAGTATGGCCTGCTATTTGATTGAATACATGCCTTTCATGCCTTTTCTGAGCATTATTATAGAAGAATGTTACTGTTTTCTATTTATTCTAATCTTTGCTTTGGTATTTTCTCTATAAGAATCTTTTTAAAACATAATTCACACAGTAAAAGTTTTATATATCATCCAAACACGTTTTAGTTTATATAATCATGTTGCTGAAATACTTAGGTGAGCAAAAAGGTAGAACATGTTAAACAAATTATTCTGAATGTTTGTACAGAATTAACTTTCAAAATTAACTTCTAAATAAATATTTGCTCTGGGTTGTGAATAATGTGTCAATGTTTTCTCACGTCTCGTTTTGCCCACTGAAGGCAGGCTGCTGATAGTTGTGTGTTTTCAGTTTAATGAAGTGTTACACTGATAATAACATATTAGCTGCAATTTCTCACTTTGGAGACAAAAGTTCATTATTTCTGTTTCTTTTGCTGTAGGATGTCAGCTGCAATGAAATCACAACTTTGCCACAACAGATAGGCCTGCTGAAATCTTTAAAAGAACTGAATGTCAGAAGAAATTACCTCGAAGTTTTACCCCAAGGTATGAGTTATGAAAAGATCTATCATAAAAGCATTAGGATTTTTGGTATTTTGAAAGTCTTTAATCATGTGAGTAAGTAATAACAGAAAATAACTACTTTGCGTTGGATTGTTTTCTATTTGAGTTCACTGTGTGTCTGGAGACAATAACATTAAAGACTTTAATTATCTTTATGATTCTAGGTATCTTAAGCTGCAAAGATGCTTACCTGTGAATGCAGATAACTGTCAGCTGCCTCAAAGTGTTTTAAAATCTGTTGTCACTTGTGTATCATTAACATTCTTTTCCTCCATTCTATACAGGAAAGCAAAAAATTCCTGTCAGAATTTGTATTTTTTAAAAGGTGGGGGGTTGAGAAAAGAGAATATTATATCCTGTATTTTATTCTATGACGAATAATAGTTCTTCTTGTTTTTATCTGATGATACAAAGAAAAAAGTTTATTTAGAAATATTATTTTTTACAAAAAATCAGTACCTTTTGTTTTTTTCTGTTGCTTTTAGAACTAGTACAGCTTCCCTTGGTGAAGTTCGACTTTTCCTGCAATAAGGTGCTTGTGATTCCCATTTGTTTTAGAAAGATGGCACAGTTGCAAGTACTACTGCTTGAGAACAATCCTTTGCAATCTCCACCAGCACAAGTAAGTAACATCTGTCATTTAAATTGTGCTTTAATATTGGGTGGATGATAACTTAGTCCATAAAATGTCATCTTCTGCAATTGCAGGTGTCTGAACACGAGTGATGACAGACATTAGTTGTGGATATATAAACAATTGCAGGTGTCTGAACATGAGTGATGACAGACATTAGTTGTGGATATATAAACAATAAGACAGTGTCCTATATTCTGTGTGTCTGTACACTATTTGAACCAATGCTATTTTAGAAGATTTCCACTGCTAGCTACCTGTTCATTTTGTTGCTCCTATCTCCATCTGAAACTTAATGTGTACATAATTTTGAAAAAGAAGGTTGTTGGGAAACTTCCTTGATAAATCATGGAATCATAGAGTATCACAGGTTGGAAGGGACCCACAAGGTCTAACTACTGTCTCCACGCAGGAGCACCTAAAATTCAAACCTGATGTCTGAGAGCATTGACAGTCAGCACTTAAACTTTGGCAGATTGGGATTGTGCCCTCTGTCCTGGGAAGCCTGTTCCACTGGCCATCTCACCCTCTGGTGAAGAACCTTTTCCTGATATCCAGCATGAGCATCTTCTAATGCAGCTCTGTGCCTTTTCCGTGGGTCCTGTCACTGTCACCAGAGAGAAGAGATCAGCTCCTGCCCTTCCCTTTCCCTCGTGAGGAAGCTTCCATGAGGCCTCTCTTCGGTCCCTCTTCTCTAAGCTGAACAAACCATATGACTTCAGCAGCTTCTTATAGGTCGTCTTCCCTTCTAAACCCTTCACCATCTTCATAGCCCTCCTTTGGGCACTTTCTAATAGTTTTATGTTCTTCTTTTGTTGTGCCCTAAATTGTACACGGGATTTGAGGTGAAGCTGCACGAACAGAGAGCAGAGTGGTATGGTCCCTTCCATCACCTGCCTAGCAGTCCATGACATGGTTGGCTCTTTTGGTTGCCAGTGCACACTGCTGACTCTGGTTTCCAACAGCCAGAACCTCAAGATCCCTTTCTGTGGGACTGCTCTTCAACCTCTTGTTGCCTGCTCTATATACATATCCAGGACTGCCCTGTCCCAGATATAGAATTTCTCTTGTTAAATTTCATGTGGTTGGTGATTGCCCAGCAAGTATATCAAGATCTCTCAGGGAGGCCTCTCTGTCCTTGAAGGAGAACAAATTTCATTGGGCCCTGAAGACCAGCTGGAGCAGCAAATCCTGCACATGTTCAGAGCTGCCTGGGATTTTGTTTCCCTGGTCATGGTTTTCCAACTCAGGGTTCTAATAAAAGCCCATTTCTAGAAAGTTTTTTGCTCTTATTTACTACATATAATGTATACATATTCTGGCAGCCTAGAACATAATCTACATGACTAATTTTTTTTACTCTATGTATGACAATAAATTTACAGTAGAAGGAAATTAAGATCATGTTATGAACGTAGACCAAGCTGAGAAATGATCATAAATCATAAACTTCTGTTTGCTGCTTAAGGACAACTTTGTTGACTTACTGGACCCTAGATTCAAAGTTTATCTAGTATGCTTGTTTTAGATCAGCAGCTGTTGAAGTATTTGAGAGTTTTTATTACATTAGAGAAGCTCCTTTCTTTAACTAACCATGGTGATGCAATTTCTAAGCTGAAAACATAGAATCATAGAATTTCTCAGGTTGGCAAAGACTTTAAGGATCATCAAGTCCAACCACAACCTAACCATACTACCCTGACTCAAACAACCCTCTGCTAAATCATGTCCCTGAGCAACACATCCAAATGGTTTTTAAACACATCCAGGGATGGTGACTCAACCACCTCCCTGGGAAGCCTATTCCAGTGCTTAACAACCCTTTCTGTAAAGAATTGTTTCTTGATATCCAATCTAAACTTTCCCTTGTGCAATTTGAGACCGTTTCCCCTCATCCTGTCACCCAACAAGCATGTGAGTTAAAGAGTGCAGTCAAAGAAAAGAATGTAGAGGCAAGTGAAAAACATCATAAAGATGCTTGAACACCATAAAACCAGTATGACAATATGTAAAGGACATGTTGGTTAATTAAATGTTACTATTGACTAATTTTGTAGAATAATGACTTAGTTTACAGTTGGTAATAGGCCTAAATATGTTTTATTAATCATAATTCTTTATGAGAGTATTTGGATTTTGTAAAATATAATACATTCTTTTTCAGTATCCATACTGGTGCACTCAATTGATTCACTTATTGAAGTTGTTCTTAATCACTTATTTAAAAATAAAATGTTTTTCTTTACATTATTTCTATTGTGACCTTACGAGTTGGTTTTCAGGTAGTTTTACACTAAGCGAAATTTGGAATACATTTCCCTTTTTCTACATATAAACCCATCTTTTTTTCCTAACAGATTTGTACAAAGGGGAAGGTGCATATATTCAAATATCTGACAGTACAGGCCTGTCAGATTAAAACAGCAGACTCGCTGTATCTTAATGCCATAGAACAGCCACATTTGCCACAACCTGTGGAAGAAAGGTACGAAAAAAGATCAAACTTATTTTTCGCATGTAATATTTATTATCTTGGAACAAAGTGAAAAATGGTTTTATCCTTAGCTTCTACAGTTTTTGTTGTTTAGATTCCATTTAGACAGCTCTTTTCCAAGCAGAACTTTCTTTTGCTTTATTTTATTCTTATGAAATCCTTAAAAGGATTTAGATAAAGTATTTTTAACAACTGATTCTGGTTAAAGTCAGCAGCACGTTAGGAAAGAGCTTGGAAGTAAGCCTTTGCTTAAATTTAACTTTCTACTAGTATACTACTGGAATATATTGAAAGTAATTAAGAGGGTAGTATAACCTGGTGTTGGAACTTCATTGTAAATCTATTAACATCCTAAAAAGAAATTCACTTCTTGCTTCATTTTGTGATTTATGTGTTATTAGAGTTGCGTAATTCTGTTAAGCTTTTTTTCTTCATAGAATCACAGAATGTCTTGAGTTAGAAGGGATCTTAAGAACCATCCAATTCCATCCCCCCCACAGTGGATATGGTTACCACCCACTAAATGGGACTGCCCAAAGCTCCATCCAGCGTGGCCTTGAATGCCTCCAGGGATGGGGCACCCACCGCTTCTCTGGGCAGCTGTGCCAGTACCTCACTCACCTCTGGGTAAATAAATTCCTCCTAACATCTAATTTAATTCATCCAGCAAAGAGAATTGAGTGGGTGTTGATATTCTTTTGAAGTGAAATTAAATTTTATTATTAATTTATTTGGCAAAATGAAAGACAATGTCTTCAATTTCTTAGATCAACAGAGGGAGATCCTTTTTACGGGAATCTTCGTAGCTAATTGGAAACCAGTTCGTAGCCAGCTCTTTCTTTGCCAGTGTGAGAAGTTTATATTAAACAATCATGGAAAAATTATGGGGATGCCCAGTAAAAACAAAATGTTGATGAAAATACAGAGATGTTGCTGCTAACACTCTGAGGGGAAAAAAAAAACACAACTGTTTTAGAGTCTCCCTGTCAATTATCTGGTAAAGGGCTAGTACAGAAAGGATACCAGCTGATAACTAGCAGACCAGTGTTCTATCACAAAGTACTAAAGTTAAAATAGATGCTTGAGGATGTATTCTTACCGTTTAACCTTTATCTTTCTTATGATATATTCAGTTAAATATTTGAACGTCTGTATGTTTTGTTTAGTTGGAAAATATGATGCTTTGCTTTAGAGAATTATTTCACACTTCAAAAGAAAAACACAACCTGGTTAAGATTTCCACAGTACTGACAAAAATCACAGAATGCCTTAGATTCAAATAGTCGAACACCTCACCCTTTCCCCCTTATATCTACCCACCCACCCTGCCCCAAGAAAGAACATCTGAAGGCTCGCATCCAGATGGCTATTGAATGTCTCCAATCTTTTGAGTTTACTGATAACAGATAATTGGAGATTAAGCTGAATCAGATAACTTCTTCATGTGAAGATTGTTAAAATACTTTCAAAATCTCTGTGTTAATCTGAATTTAGGTTTACAACATTCAGAATTGCAAATGAGAAGGAAGTAAAGGAAAAAAAATAGTTAACTGAGCGTATTCATATATTGGTGTACTTTAAAATGAGCAGAGGTCATATTAGGCAATAATAAAAATCCTGAAGAGATAGCAGTTGCAATTATTATAATCATTTTCTGAAAATATTAAATTTCAAAATCTATTTTAAAGCCTCAAAAGGAGGTTTCTATGTTAATTACTCCAAACTCCAGGGAGTTAACAGTTCGTTTTTAATGCATCGATGGTTACTTTTAAATTAGTTGACTCCAGTTTGAGTTCAGCTAGTTTAGTTTTCTGTGACATGGCTAAATTACTTCAGTCAGAATCCTGTGCTACTTGGCTAATAGCTAAATATTTTTTTTCCACTGCACAGACAAAAGCAACAACCTTTAGGATGGATTATTCTGTTGTTTTCATTAATCCTTAAGCTAATGAACCATTCCATCATCTTACTTTACTACTAGCAGACTGCAGATGTGTAGTTTGTATCCATACTGAGCTAGTTTGTGGGTCCTGATAAAATGCATTTAGAGTCCTGAGGGAATTAGATGATGTAGTCACTGAGCCATTCTCAATGATATTTGAAAAGTCATGGCAATCAGGTGAACAGCTGAAGTCCCTGGTGGTGACTGGAAGAAAGGCAACACCGCATTCATTTCTAAGAAGGGAAAAAGGATGACCCTGGGAACTACAGACCTGCCAGTCTCACCTCTGCCTGGAAAGATCATGGAGTAGGTCCTCCTGGAAGCTGTACTAAGGCACATGAAAGGCAGGGAGGTGATATGGGAGAACAGTATGGCTTCACCAAGGGTAAATTCTGCTTGATCAACCTAGAGGCTTTTTACAGTGGTGTCACTGCATCAGTGGACAAGGGTGGAGCCATTGATATTATCTATCTCAACTTCAGTTCAGGCCTTTGAAATGGCACCCCACAACATTCAGCTCTCCAAATTGGAAATATGTGGATTTGATGGGTGGACTATTTGATGGACAAAGAACTGGCTGCAGGATCAAGTCCAGAGAGTGGCAGTCAATTGTGAATGTCTGGATGGAGATCAGTGATGAGTAGTGTCCTATAGGAGTCTGTGCTGGGACTAATACTCTTTAATGTCTTCATCAGTGACATTGACAGTGGGGCTGAGTGCACACTCAACAAATTTGATGACACCAAGCTATGTGATGCAGTCAGTGCACCAGAGGGATGAGACATCATCCAGAGGGATCTGGAGAGCCTTGAGCAGTGAGCCCAGGTGAACTTCATGAGGTTCAAGAAAGCCAATTGCAAGATCTTGCACCTGGCTCAAGGCATCCCCTGCTACTAATACAAAACAGGGAAAGAAAGGATTAAGTGCAGCCCTGCCAAAAAAGACCTGGGGGTACTGGTAGATGGTTAGCTGGATGTGAGGCAGTCATATGCTTTCACAGCCCAGAAGGCCAACCGTGTCTTGGACTGCATCCAAAGCAGTGTGGCCAACAGGGTGAGGGAGGTGATCCTGCCCCTCTGCTCTGCACTGTGAGACCTCACCTGGAGTACTGCATCCAAATGTGGAGCCCTCAGCACAGGAGGGACACGGATCTGTTGGAGTGTGTCCAGAGGAGGGCCACAAAAATGATCCAAGGGATGGAACACCTCTTCTTCAAGGACAGGCTGAGAGAGCTGAGGCTGTTCAGCCTGGAGAAGGATCTGAGTTGACCTGAGTGCGGCTTCAGTATCTAAAGGGGAGCTACAGGAAAGAAGGGGACAGACTCTTTAGCAGGATCTGTGATATTAGAACAAGAGGAAATGGCTTCAAGCTTAAAGAGGGCAGATTTAGGTTGAACGTAAGGAAAAAGTCTTTTAAAGTGAGGGTGGTGAGGCAGCAGAACAGGTTGCCCAGTGATGTGGCTGATACCCCATCCCTGGAGTCTTTCAGGGTGAGGCTGGATCAGGCCCTGGGCAAACTGATGTATTGGTGGTGGTCCCCTGTTCACTGTAGGGGAATTGGACTAGATGTCCTTCAGAGGTCCCTTCCAACTCTAAGGGTTCTATGATTCTATGATTTCTTCACTGACATTGATAGTTGTTACAATTTTTCTCTAAGTGAAAATGGGACAGAATTCTAACTGTACATGCTGTGATAGCTTTCTATTGTTTTCTGTTCAAATCTAGCATTGATGACCTCTACCCAAGTAAAAAGGACTCGGATTCAGGTGTTGGTAGTGACAATGGTGATAAGCGTTTGTCAGCAACAGAGGTAAGTTGCCCCTTTCTCCACACTCTTATTTCTTAATATGTATAGCTACATTTTTAGCTATGAAAACTGCAACCACAACCATGGCATGAATTTCTCACTCATAAAACTTTAAAACAAAGATGAAAGAAGACTGGGATTTTTTTTCCAGTTTTGTATCCACGTTTTTGGGAGATAGCAGTGAGATACTTGATCACAAATTACTAACACCAATAGAGAAAATTCAATACAATTTTCAGCCAGTTTTAAGTGATAATATAGAAAATAGAATCCAAACCAGAAAGCTGTCTACTCTTTCCAACCAAATAAATGTTATACAAATATTATACATCTGTCTCCTTCTTACTAGTTTCCTCTCTGACTTCTGAATTTTTCATGTGGGAGATTAACTCAATTTCGTATGCTCAGTCCTGATATGTTCTGTGGTGTTGTGGTTATGGGAGTTTTCTGGAGAGCAGGAGCTTCATAATCTTTGCACATCTTCATGTGCATCTATGCTGTGTGTTTCCATGCTCTGGCAGTTACGCAGTGCTAGAAATAAGCCTTCAGAATTTTTCTTGAGCTATTTTGTGTGAGTGGGCAAAGAAAAATGTTGGCTTCCTGAGAGTAGTGTTGTACTGAGTAGTTACAGCTACAGTTACACATTTCCTAGAATTTCTTTCTGAGGCTCTACCCAGGAATTAGTGCTCCGTTCAGCTGAGAAGTCTTTTCTTAGGTATTCAAATGAGCAGTTAGTTAGACTTCATAGATAATTATAAATAAATAAGTAACTGGTATTTCAGTAACAATCTTTCTGAAATGTATAACTAAAAGAATTTGTGGTCTGACTTAATGGGTATAAAAGAATAGGTTTCTTCCTACTTAAAAAACAAAAAAGGAAGCAATAATTTTCATGTGTTTTTCTCTTCCTTTGAGGAAAAGTCTGTTCTTTTGACACTCGTTTGGAAAGAATCAAGCTTAGATACTGAATTTGCAATTACTGCCAAAGCAAATAGAAAATGAATCCAGTTATACTCTGTTAAATACAGAAACACGTATAAACACAGTGGTTGCCAATTATTTGGGCAAGTCTTTACATAACTGTACGAACATGCAGTCCATTCAAAGAGGCTTACAAACTGTTCTGCCGTTATTACAGTTCCTGAAGTTGTTAGCTTTTTAGTGAAAGCATGTATTTTTATCAATCTTGGATTTAATGTGAAACTATTGTTTCTCTGACTTCTTAGCCATCTGATGAAGATACTATCAGCTTTAATGTTCCAATGTCAGACATTGTGGAAGAAGATCAGGTTGTAAAAGAAGATTCAGGTCATCATGCTAACTCAAGAAAAGGTTGGAATGTCAAAACTGTGGAGGTTAAAAACAGGAAATTTCTGTTGATAACTGTATAAGACTGTAAATGGAGTCTGAAAATGTCACAGCACAGCGAGTAATGATTAGTTTTTCAGTCTAAAAACATGAACTTTAACTTAGAACCATCGTGCTTTTCACTGGAATATTCAGTGTTTGATTTTGCTCTGGATAAATAACTTAAGTTGATTTTTCTTGCTGATATTATAATCATTCAGTAAGGATTTTTACCATTAATTTCTTTGTAGTAAATGCCTTCTTATCCAAGAGGCTTTCAGGTATGCCTATGCAGTCATTTAAAACAGAAAAAGGTCTTACAGCAGTTCTAAACTATACTGAATTGAGTATAGTAATTTTCTGTGTTGGTTTCAATGAACTTCTTGCACCTTGTCTCAAGGGTTAATAAATTCTGTTTCTCACTAAGGGGAAAAAAGTGAGAGTCAGTCTGGTCTAGAGGGAGGCATCCCCGCCCATAGCAGGGGGTTGGAATTAGATGATCTTAAAACTCCCTTCCAACTCAAATCATTCTATGATTTTAAAACACGCTTCCAAGTCAGTAATCTCAATGTCTAATAACTTTGTCAGATGCCAGCTCAGGTTCTGAATTAGCAGTGTATAAAAGTGGAGTGACAGTGTGTGTAGTTCCATCTATATTTTACTGAAGTTACACCTTCGTTAATGTTATCTACGTACTGATAAAAGATGATTCCTTATGATCTGCACATACTAGTGATAAATTGCAGGATAATATCAGTGAGCTGGAAACCACATAAATAGGAAACCAGCATTTCATGAATGTTTCATGCCAGATTAAATGAATTTCAGTTGAGATTCTCATCAGAATGTAGTAATATGCAACTGATACAGTAAGACTTGCATCCTGCAGTGTTTATCACCCCATCAGAGAGCATAAGAGATCAAACCGTTTCAAGCAGGAGAATTAAAGATGTATATAGTCCTAGAAACAGTGTAGTTAAACAGTAGATTTGTCTTGTTTGCAAGGCTGAATCATTCTGACCGAGTTCTGCTGAGAGTTTTGGATGTTTGTTACAGCATCATAACTTCTAAGTTGCATAAAAAACTGCTAGTCAGTGGCTGAGACATTACTGTCTTGAAATAATTCTGTAGCTTTCCAACTGTGCTCTTGTACCAGTACTGGCAAGGCTTTTTTCATGTAGTTAAAAACTGATCAGTCAGTGCTTGTTGTGCTGTTTTTGATCTACAGCTGTATTGAGCCAAGGATATTGATTTATTCAAACTTTGCAATGAATTGACATCTCTCCCTTGAATGGAATGGTCTGCACTTTTTTGAGGTTTTTAAATATGGTTTGAACTTAAACTTGAATTCATTTGGTTTTGAGCTCATAATTTTAGTGTTCTCGTGAGTAGCAAATTTTCAGCTGAACTGGAAATAATTTTGTCGTCTTTTATTGTTGTTTTCAGTGGAATTCCATCAGGGATCTTCTCACTTGATTGTCAATGATAAATCAAGAGAGACGGGAATGCGGCTTGATGAATCAGATGCTCTTACTACAGAATTTATGAGCTACATTAAGGCAAGTGTGTGTTCAGTTCTTAGTGGCAGAAAATATTTTCACTGCTATCCTAAGTACAGAGCAATCAGGAGTGAGGGACTGCAGACATTTTAATATATAAAACCCACAGTTAATATTCGTTGTCATAAAAGATGCAGAATGCAAAAATAGATTTAAAATTATAATTGATGTAGTACAAAGCTAAAATAAGATCCATAGAAATGAACAGTGAATCAGTAGTGATTACCACTGTGTGGTAACTCAAAAAGTACACTTTATTATGTAGCAAGAACTGCCTAATAATGTTTTTATTTTTAAAAACATAATTAGATAAACTGAGTTTTGAAAGATTCTAATGAAGTTTCAAGTGAGTACTTTTTATCCTGACATTTATTTGCTGGATATTTTTGCTAGTTATGTTGTAATGCAAAAAGATATTTAAGAAAGTAGTGTTTGTAGCGTTCCTGTGGGAGTGAGGTCTCTACTGGATTCATAGATCAAAAAAGATTTTTTAATATATATATTTTTGGACCAGTTTTCTCCTTTTGTGGATAGTTTTGAGGAATATGAAGAGGCTCTGTACTATCTTTGTGTTGTATCCCTTACTGAAAAATATGTGCTGAGTGGTAATACTTGGAAAGAGAAAACTTACTACCTTTCAGCTTCTTGGAAATAGGAAAAAAAAACAGACTGGTGGTTCTGAAAAAAAACAAAACAAACAAACAAACAAAAAAAACCCCTCAATTTCTGCAACTTTTATTTTTTCTAGCAACAAAACTTCACAGATCCTGTTTTGCTGTTTCTAGCCTCTGTGTTGATAGCCTCCTCTGTTAGTTATCAGGAAACTTTATTTACTCAGTGCATGCATGTTGCTTGTTATTTCTGTTACTTACAAGTACAGATCTGAACTCTACAGTATTTAAGGTCACAAGTGATTTATTGCCTAAAACTTCACTGACTGTAAAGAATTATTTATGCTGAATGTTTAGGACATAATGAGTTACCTTTTATTGACTTGTTCTTTAGAGATTTCTTTACTAAAAACTTGCTGTAAAAAGGTTAACACATTGTAGGTTTCCTGCATACAGATTTTCAACAAATGTACACATTTGAGGTGAATGAACTAGACAGAAGGGGATTAGAATGTTTTCGTCTTCCCCTGACAAAGGTAGAAGTACAGACATCTGAAGTTGACAGCTTATATTCTGTATGTGCTTGTTATTTGCTGCTTCTTGTCCATTCATCATCTTGATTTTCCTTAGCAAATACTATTCCCTTGGAAATAACCTCTGTCATGTAATAAAACAGTATTATATGAAATAATGTGTAGTGTACAGTGGTTCAGTAAAAGAAGTTACTGTATTGAATGGCAGTATGGCAATATTGCCAGAGCAAGCTCTTGGATTTTTCTATTATCTTCTTAATATTATGGCAGTTGAGAGCAGTAGTTGATGACTTGAACAGATAACTGCATCTTTCTTTTTTTTTTTTCCTGAGAGTATTTTGAACCCTGGGCATTTTCCGTTTGCAGATTTGAGTCAACTGTATTCTTTGGTTTATATTTATTCATGTACTAGCATGCATTTTGAGACTTCTGAAACTGAGTTTCTGGTTAATAAAAAAATAACAAAGCAAATGATATCCTGGTCTCCATCAGAAGGGGGTGGCCAGCAGGGGCAGGGAAGTGATTGTCCCTCTCTACTCTGCTCTTGTGAGTCCCCATCTGGAGTACTCTGTCCATGTCTGGAGCACTCAGAACAAGAAAGAGAGGAAGCTGTTGGAGAGAGTCTAGAGGAGGGCCGCGAAGACGATCAGAGGGCTGGAGCACCTCCCCTATGAAGACAGGCTGAGGGAGCTGGGCTTGTTCAGCCTGGAGAAAAGAAGGCTGTGGGATGACCTCACTGCAGCCTTTCAGTACCTAAAGGGAGCCTACAAACAGGAGAGGATTCAACTCTTTGAAAGGGTTGACAACTGCAGTATGAGGGGAAATGGTTTTAAGTTGAGGGAGGGAAGATTTAGGTTGGATGTCAGGGGGAAGTTCTTTACAGAGAGAGTGGTGAGGTGCTGGAACAGGCTGCCCAGAGAGGTTGTGGATGCCTTGTCTCTGGAGGTGTTCAAGGCCAGACTGGATGGGGCCCTGGGCAGCCTGCTCTAGTGTTAAATGGGGAGGTTGGTGGCCCTGCCTGTGGCAGGGAGGCTGGAGCTTTATGATCTTTGAGGTCCCTTCCAACCCTGGCCATTCTGTGGTTCTGTGATTTTGTGAATACGTTAAATCAATACCAGAGGCAGTGGAGAAAAGTTTAGGCTTGGTAAATCTGTAGTTTTCATAAGTTATTCCTAATTTGTAAGGCAGTTTCTATTTATACAAATATGCCAGAGGCTGAGATTTGCCTTCTAGAACAATTGCTGGTTTTTTTTAATGTGTCCTTCTTATGGGAAAAATCATATGATTCATTTCTGCGTTAGTAACTTGAAAAAAAATGTGAAGAATGGCTTTATTTGTTCTACTAAGGATTGTTACTGGAAAATGTGTCATCCTTGGGGAATTTAAAGGAGCTGGTATGCCCCTCAGTGACACATCTGGCAGAATTGGATAGTGTTTATTGGTACAGGGTGATGCGACAGATGTGCCAAGCCCATGACACAAAAAAAGGATAGGCTTGTTTTCTGCTGTTTATTCTCTACTACTATAACTATACTTCCACTCAGAGAGCTTCTGTCTTTAGTGACAGCTGAATTACTTCAGTAATTCATCCAAGAAAGAAATTTTCAAAGTTTCATTCTTCTTAAGATTGTAAATGAAAGCGTAAGTAAGGGACTTCAATTTTCTAATACGTAGCATTTTACATTATGGATAGAATGGAGGCTGTGATTTATTCCTACACTGAATCCCAAATAACAGGCCAACTGATTTGAACTGTAGCATGTCAGTTTTGTTTTGATTTTATTTTTTAAACAGAGCTTTTAAAATTATCAAGTAGGAATCCTATTAATAGGTATGGATTAAATACATAATTGTTAGTTTCTCTATTTGGAATTTCCTTGCTCTGTAAATGTAGCTGTATGTGGGAGGAGAGCAAATAAGATGAGAGCTAGAGTCGTGCTGAATTGAACCATTGTTGGCGTACACGAGAAGGGCACAAATGAAATCTGGGACATAGAATGAAGAATTCTCATGCTACTTGACTTTCTTTTTACAGTTAAAGGAGGGTAAGGGCTGTTGACCTCAATAAAATCTCAACAATGAAAATAAGATCATGTAATGAGTATCTTAAAAGGGGATAGAGTGAGACGTGAAGCAGAAGTGTTGGATTGCTTCCACTAGCCACCCTAAACTGTTAAATAAAATAGGTCAGTGCTGAGTCTGAAAGGAAAACTTATCTGCTTGCTTAATTGCAAAGTTCAATTCTTAATATCACTTTGTCTGCTTACAGAGCAGAGCAGCAGAGTGTGATGAATTACTGAGAATTGAAGAGGACGCACAATGGCAAACAGAAGAAATGTAAGTATTGCTTTGTCTGTAAGTAATTAACTGTATCATTTCATTAGACAACCAAAACTGGTGTTTTCTTCTCAGTTAATAATTTTGTAGACTTAAAAGCATTGAGCAGTGCAGCTTTCTGTGTGTGAATGTGGTGTGTTATATGTTATTGATTAATAAAGTGGGTCTTAGCTTGCAACTAATGTATGTGTGCTAATAAAGCTGTAATTTGGCATCTTTTAGCCAATGTAGAGCCCAGGTTTTTAAATCAGGTATTTTGATATGTAGTCTGCGTATACTGTTATTTATAAAAATTAAAATTAACTCGTAAAACCTAATGCACAGGATTTCTTTTCAAAATCTTTTTTTTTTTAACCCTGAAACAATCAATAATTCATAGGTATTAGCTCAAGTGCAGTGTAAGTAAACATCAGTCAAGTGATGAGTGTTCATAAGAAAAACAGATCTGGCATGACAATGCACTGTGAAGCTCTCACTTCAGAACAGTGGATTAGAAATAAAAATTGAAAGGAGGGAAAAATAAGCATGTTCCAAAAGAACCTTGTTGGCAGAACTATCAGATGATTTTTTTAAAAAATTAAAAAAAAACCAAACAACAGGAACAACAGCCAAATCTTGAAAAGCAAAAGAAAGCATGCTGTGGTCCATTAAAAAGAATCGTCACATTTTGTAATAATATATGTGGTGAATGTAGTTAGTAGGGGTCAGCTTTTGAAGTTGGTCTGCTTAATGGATATGCAGAGATCTTAGTTTCTGAGTTCATCACGTTTGTTTATGTATGTGTATTAGTTTGGGAAGTTTTGTTAAAGGCAAAGTGCTGGTTTTTTTTTTTTCTGAAGACACTCTTTGCATAAATTCAGCACTCATTAGTTTGCACAGAGGCTATTTTTACCTTCCCTCTGTATTTGTTGCATGCTTAGTTAGAAGGTAGAGTTCACAAATTGAAATTGAGATAACCCCTGATAATTGCTGTTTTACCTCTTTTTTGAATGCTTTTGTTTTCTATTATAGAATAAATATGTCAGAAGAACAAACTATTGATATAGCAATGATAGAACAACTAAGAGAAGCAGTAGATTTGTTACAAGATTCCAACAGGTATGCTAAAAATAGCAGGTGTCTTATGTACTTACAACTTCTGTTGAGTTTCCTGTAGAATAGTCATATCTCTTTTAGTCTGTACAAACTCCACTTCTTGTTAATGCTTGAGGCATTGTGTTGGAATTGGGGAAGGTTTTCTGATGTGTTTCATCCCATCTTTCTGGGATGCATAAAGATACTTGAAGCAGTGATGAAGTTTTGGTAGTCTCCCTCTGAGTTCAAAAAGAGAAAAAGGAAGGGGCTACTAGTGAAGGTATTTCTCCTGGCTATAGAAGGCAAGGCTGTCTGATTTATATACATCTTATAAGTGGCTGAAGTCAGGCGAAATTACTCTGGGTCTGTGAATAAACAAAGGATTAAATATATAAAAGAAAAACAAAAAGAAGCTTGAGAGAACTGAGTGTTGCAGGTACTTCTGTCCCTGTGCTTGCTACTGCTTTTTGTTGTGTAATCCCACAATTTTTCATCATTACTTATATGAGGTAGCTTTTCTAGAGCTTTAATTCTCTGAACAATGGACACCTCTTCATCATACCCAGTATAAAATGTCCTTGTTTCTCCTTCCTTGGACAGTTCATGTAGCCATTTCTTCTTATGACTACACTGTTCTGTAGCTTAAAAGTCTGTTTTGATATTGCTTTTTCACTTAGCATATCTTTCTGCTTTTTAGGACTGAAGTTCACTCCTGTTATTTTTTCTGGCAAAGGAACTATCTGGCTTTATTTTGAATCATACAGAGAATACTTGAATTATTGAATTGAGTACTAAATAGTTAACAAAAAAAAATCATGAGGAGCAGTCCTGTGGTTTCTGTGAGATAAAATTCTGTTGCTTCTGTAACTCATCTGTAACTTATTAGTTTGCAGGAGAAGTGTGCAGATAAGATTGAAAAATAGTCTGGTTTGAAAGAAAGAGACAGTAAAAAATCTCTTAGCCTTACAAAATTTGTTGCTTTGTTGTTTGTCAGATAATGCCTTGACATTTCCTACATTTTTTTTGCTTATGAAATTTCAAAAGGCAATGAAATACAGACAGACTCCATTTCTCCATGCACGTTCAGTTGTGCTTTCAATAGCACAATAGTATATGAAATGTGGCTTTTAAAGATGACTGTAAATATGTCATGCATGTATTTATTTTTGCTTTGTCGAGTGCTAAATAGGCCATTCAAATGTCTGTTTGTTTTATGCTAACAAACACACTTGTCCAGCATGACACTCCTGGGTGTCAAGCACATATCAAATGAAGCTTGATTTTGCATTCTGTTGTGGATGCCTCATCATTGCTTGCAGCAATAGGCTGAAGCAGTAGGTGATGCTGAAGCATACCTTGCACACACTGATTAGAGCTCTATATAGAATATATCAATTTGTGTTATTTCCATTTACAAACATGACTAATTTGTGAAATAGGACCACAATGACTTGACAATTTAATGTTTTGCACGTCTTCTGTGCACATTAACAGCAATTCAGTTCAGGAATGGAAAAGGATTTCAGGCTCAATCTGTTCCAGTATTTTCTTCCTTTGCTCTCTTTCCTGTATTCATTGCTTTATTTCAAATTGTTGGCTACTGGGAGCTTGTTGCTGGTCTGCTTTATTTTCACGCATTGTAAATTAAATTTAGATATTTAACCAGGGTTTTGGATCTTGTTAAAATATGGAATGCTAGAGTTTGAATGTAGATGTCTTCAATGTTATGTATAATGACATGACTGTTAATAGTAAACAGGTCCCTTTGTTTTTCATTGCTCAGAGTGGTGCTTTGGAGATGTTAATGTTGGTTTGACCAAGGTGGTGACACTTTTATAAGAAATAAAATAGAGTAGGTTAATAACACGACTAAAAATATTTTATATATATCCATTTGTTTGAAACTGAATACTGAACATAATGATTACCAACGCTATACCCCAGTGCAATGTTTTTATTTCAAACCTTACAGATTAAGCATGGATATTTCAGAAAGCAGTGATGTGAATCTGTATCCCATGGAACCAGCAACAGCTTTAGAATTTCAGGAATCTACAGTAAAGTGTGTTTATCTACCTTTTTTTTTTTTAAAAAAAAATGCATTTGTTAGAATCTTGAGTTTCTACAAAATAAATTACATATTCACATTTGTTTCTTTATACATAGCAGTCAAATGCAGATGGAGATGTCCTCCCTTGGTCAGGTATGTTAATGAACATATTATAAGGTATTTGAGGGGTAAGATAGGAAATGATCCAATAATTTCATCCATTTTTAATCTACCAAGTAAGCAAAGGAAAACTATGGTAGACTGGAGGACACAACTAGTTCTTCAAAATTTTAATGCAGTTGTTATTTATATATGTGTCTGTGTGTGTATAGAGAGAAACTATACATTTATATATATTTATATATATATGTGTATGTGTAGACATATATACACACACACAAATACTTTATTTTCTGGGTTTATCAGTTACTTCTGCATGTTATTTTTTTTCCTTTTTTTCCACTCAGTTTGTAGAAAGACAGTCATCTTTTCATACAGCCATCTTTTTCATGTATTGTGTTGGCTATGAGAATCAGTTGCTACTGTTCGTAGCTCAGCTATGTGTATTCTTGTACTCTTCCAGTATCCTTATTCTAGTGTAAGGAAACAGTATTCATTAAGGATAACTCCAAAATATTTTGTAAATGAATGATTAATCTTTTCCTAATGCGCTGTCACCATAGTTATGGAAGGAGTATATGAAGTATGATTTGGAATTTATAGTATGTTATGTATTTGAAATGTTTCTTGACTGGTGAATTAGTATTCTTTATAGAATACAATAGTTCAGTTGGAAGGGACCTAGAAATATCATCTAGTCAAACTGCCTATTTTTTTGAGGCTAACCAAAAGTTAAAGCGTATGAATGAAGCATTGTCCAAATGTCTCTTGACTGTGGCCAAGCGTGGGACATCAACTGCCTCTCTTGGAAGCCAGTTCCAGTTTTTGATGATTCTCATAGTAAATAATTTTTTCTAACATCCAGTCTGAAGCTCCCTAGCACAGTTTTGTGCTGTTCCATGGCTCCTGCCATAGGTTCACAAGAACAGAGCCTGGCACCTTCTCTCCACTTCCCCTCCTCAGGAAGCTGCACAGTGCAAGGAGATCACTTCTTGACCTTCTATTCTCCAGACTGGACAACGTGTCCTCAATTCCTTCTCATAGGACAAACCCTCTAGATCTTTACCAGCTTTGTCACCTTCCTCCAGAAGCTCTCAAGAATCTTAGCATCCTTCCCATATTACAGAGCCCACTTGGCTTCCAGGGCACACTGGTGGCTCAAGGTGAGCCTGTTGTTGCCAGCAATCCCAGATCCTTTCTGCAGGGCTGCATTCCAGCCATATGTCTCCCAGTCTGTACCTGTGTCTAACATTGCTCTGTCCCACGTGCAGAAACTGGCATTTACCTTTGTTGAACTGCATGGCATTGATGATTGTCCAATGGTCTGATCCATCTAAATCTCTCTGCAAGGCCTCGTATCCCACCTGGGAGACAACAGCACCTCCCAGTACAGCGTCACTGGTCATCTTGATGAGGATGCATTCCAGTCCTGCATCCAGATCATTGGTAAAAACATTGAACAGGAATGGCCCTAGGATTGAGCCCTGGAAAACACCACTAGTGACTGTCTGCTAGCCAGTTGTAGCCCTCCACTTACTATAACCCTCTGAGCCATTTCATTGCCCAGTGTAGCATGAACCTCTTTATCTCAAAGTTGGACAACGTGTCCAGAAAGACGTGCTGTGAGGAGTGGTATCAAAAGCCTTAGTGAAATATACTACATCTGCTGCCTTCCCTTTGTTCACCTAACAGGTGATCTTATGGAAGGAGATCAAATTACCAAGGCAGGACTTCCCCTTTATGAGCCCATGTTGAGTATGCCTCATAATAGCTTTGTTCTTTAAATCCTTTCAATATCCTCCAAGTAGTTTATTTAGATTTACATAATGACCAGTCTTTTAGCACTGGAACTGCAATTATGTAGTGTCTGCTTACTTTTGAGTTTGCTTTTCATCACAGTACTTGTCAGAAATACTTCTGGTGTAAAAATGTTATGTAAAAAAAGATACAATTCTGTTCCCAGTGATTCACAATCTAAAGAGTAATATATCTTTCAGAAAGAAAATGCTGAAGAGGAACTAGAATTTCAGAGGAGGAGGGAATTAATTATGGAGAAAGCCAAGAATGAAATGAGAACATGTGAACAGGGTGAAAAATGGTCATTGAATCAGGTACGTAGGTGTCTAGATCCAATAAATATGGAAACATTTGGAATGAGTCACTGTCTTCTATTCACTGGTAGGGAAGTTTAAACTTTTTTATTTATGTTTTTCCCTTACCTGAATGTAAATGGGCTGTTAATTAAGACCTATTAAGAAAAAGGCTGAAATTGATGTATTTTCTTCTAATAAACATGATTGGCAAAAAAAGTATTGTCAGAGTTGGATCTTCAATGACCTGTTTTCTCTTCCCCCCCTTAATCCAAATACTGCAGCTCACATGGTTAAAGTTTTTTATGCAGCAATGAATTTAACATGCTTTGTATTACAAAGAAAACTCTGTGTGTTGAGATGATACTTCTAAACTATCAAAAATATTGTAAGTTTTGTATTTCAGTGATCCAGAAAGGAAGAACTATGAAAAATTCAAGCTTAAATATTTCAGTCATACTTCCTTACCTCAGGACTTACCTGTTTGTGAACATTCTTGCAAGAGAATTCTGAGAACAAAATGACCTAAAGTTCTGCCTGCATTCATAATACTTTAGTATACAGTGTATCATATGCAGATATAGACCAACTGGTATATCTTGATGGTTTTCAAATATCATTACTAGCAAATACTCTTGTGATCTCTTTGTGACTTAATTTTATCTTTGTTTTTTTTCCTTATAAAAGAAAGAAAAAAGTGTGGTTCGTATCTCTATGCTTTGCTTGTATTGTTGTATGTAGGAGTTAACATACTTTATTTGGGATTGTTTCTTAACTGCGTTGCTAATATGTTACGCAAAAAGTTCATTTGATGTCCGAATGCACAACATGCACATTCTGTATTTTAATGAATCTGTTCAACAAGAATGCTACTGATTCATTTTTAAGAACCTTTTAAATGAGAAAATGTCCTAAAAACTTGTAGAGGGCCTAATCTAGTCCTATATGCAGGTGGAAGCACAAGGTATGTTACATTCAATGGAAATGTGTCTTGCAGGAGTGAATTTAATCATTTTGCATATAGTAAGCACTTGTAGTTTTCAAGTTAAATGTAAATTTGGAGTTCTGACTGGTGACTTGCATGTTGTGAGAGAGTTTTGACCTGCAGTGTAGATTTAACTAGCTTGTCTGTCACAAGGCAATTCCTGAGCATAGAAGTGCTTAAACATGCTAATCTCCAAGTAGAAAGAGCAGGGATGAGATTACAGAGATTTCCTTCTATTAATTATAGGTAATAGAGTGGTTGAGGTAAGATTGTAAAAGAAGTTGGTAGCTGAGGATCATATTTTATTTTTCAGGCTAACGTAGTGTCCAGGAAATTTATCAAAATGTGTGTGTAATCTTCCTTCTCATCTTTGTAACTTTCAGAAAATTGAGTGCTGGGACCAATATTTTGAGGGCTGTATTTTTAATCTCCACTTTTTCTCCATTAAAAAATTTGCCCTAATGAAAGGGTTTTGAATGGATTTATAAGTTGATAAGTTGTGACTTATACAGAATTAACAATTGTTTGATATTCTATTGACATGATTTCCGTGTTTCCAGTTTAGCTATAGCAAAAATGGTAAGAAAAGTTATATTATATGGCAATTACAAAAGGAATTGCTTGCAGAATGCTTCTCTCTTCAAACCTATATTTAAAATCTTTACTCCCCAATTAAACTCTTGGTAACAGTTAAAATCTGTGAAACAATGTTAGATAATGCACTTGAATGAACAAAGATTCAAGTCTTACAAATGCACTTATGAATCAGTTGAGAGACTGCAGATAAGAAATTAAAGACAAATTTGTGCAAATTTGAATTTTTAAATGGTATTTCAGTTAGCCTAGCATCAAAGTATATATCAATCCTGAAGATTGTTGTGGTAAAAAAAACAAACAATACAATGCTGAAAAATGTAAAGATGAAAAGTATTGAATATTAATGAGTATCTGACTGTCATGATTAGAATACTGTATGACTGTGTATGACCAATACATTTGCTGAAAGGATCTTTTTTTTCTTTCTGTCCAATCATGCAGAATGATGTAATTGTTTGGAATACAAGTGGCCAACCCTCTCACAATGAGGTAAGATGATAGTGCATTTTGTTTGTCTTCAGTACGTGGATGGTCAGTAGGCTCTTTATGGAATCTTCCTATTTTCTGTGCAAAACCAGTGTTTCTTCCTCTACTTTACACTGTGTATGAGCACCTCACAAACTCATGAGGACCCAGTGTTGGTGACTGTACTCCCATAGATTCCATTCTCATGAATTGTTTTTTAAATAGGATTTGTTTTCTGGAGTTTGGTTATAAGACTTTTCCTTTGTTATCCTTGTATAACCATCATGGTTCTTCTGTGAGGTCTATGATTAATTTCCACCTTTCTGCATTTTAGGCAGAATTCAGTGTTGTAGGGAAAATAGTTACGCAGAATGGTAACTCTGATTCAGTGAAAGAAACACATCTAGGAAAAATTTGTTTTTGTTTTGTTCTTCTAAATATACTATGCCACAGAAGTGTATGTTGAATGGAACCAAATGGTTTTGAGGGAGAAAACTGAGAAACAATCACATTTATTTGTAGCTAGGGCCAATATGCTACAGACTTCAGTCAGAAAGTTCAGCTTCTTTTCCATTAAAGGAGTGGTATTGAATAATACTGAGAGATTGTTAGAGGTTCAAGGTTATGTGATCAGAATGTGGTGAAATAGTTTCCCTGTTATATTCTAAACACTGATCTTATGTTCTTAAATTATACAGAACAAAGATAAAAGCCCAACGCTGTCTCCTACTACAAACAACACAATCCCTTTTGGCCTGAAGCCACGATCAGGTACTGTAGGAAAGAATATCAATCAATTTTTGTACTTTTTCACATTCTTGCTGTTAATAGATATTTGTATTTTCATTTTCTCTCACAATTCAGTGATGAAAACACTTTCTGTATTCTGAAGGCTAGAACACTGTCTATATGTTTCACTTGAGATCAAATTTGTAATAACTGTTTAATGCATTTTATGTGCATCAGTTTTTACCCCTCACTCATAAATCAGGTGTTTTGTTAATTATATATATACACACATTTAAAAATAAGCACATACAAATACACACTTCATACATGTATTAGTGTACAGGATGATAATATGTTGGTAAATAATATGTGAATAATCAGACTTGTTTAGAAAATGCTTATGCATAAGTCTCAGTAGTTATAATTGTGTAAGGAGTAGTGGTTTGAGGAAGATGAGAAGTTTTCTTCAGCCTGCAATTGAGTTTAACTAATTTGCAATGTGCCAAATCTGTATTACCATCATTAACATGCAGCAGTTTATTAGTGGGGAGGGAAAAAAGTAGGAGAAAGTCAACAAAATAAACTGTATGTACTCAATGTATTTGAGGGCTTCCTTTAAAAGCAGGATAAGTTACAGGTAAACTCTGTTCTTATCTTCTCTGAGCTAAGGTGGTCAGTATTGATTGTCAGTGCTGTTAAGTCACATCACCTCTAAAGAACAACCTTAATATTTTAAGTATGCTTCAGCATTCGGTGGCTGTAATTCTGTTTTCTCACATTCACCACAAATGCTTTTAGTCAAATGCTGGTAAACCACTACAAGCTTGTAGCTTCCATAACAAAATATCGTGGCAATAATGGCGGCAGTTTCATATTTGAATGTTCTTTAGGAAATTGTACCCATAGATTTGTTTTTAAGAAGGTTTGCGGAGCAAAGAAAGTGTTATCAAACAAACCTTGTTTCATAAAGAAAGCATTTTAAATTTCCTGCATTGTTATGATATAAAAGTTGGGCAGATCTGTTCATTTCAATTTTATAGTTTGTTGCTAAACTCTGACTCTATTCTTTTTGTTCCTGATGCTTCAGAAGAATTATTGTTTCTTAACATACGAAGTATGGATTAAATGATGAGCAAATGGGACCTTTCAGGACTTGAAAAAATATTATTTGAGTAATATTGTTCAGTCCAGTGGCAACTGCTAGGACAGAGACATGAAAAGGCAATGTCAGAATACAGACTTTCATAGGAGGTAGCCTGTGCTATGCTGCACTGCCAGTGAAATCTGCTGCCAGGAACTGGAAGCAGTATTGAAGGAGTAGAATGCAAGACTGTGATTTTGTATTCAAGTTACTTTAACACACGTTTCCTAGTCTTGATGTGTCAGTTGTCTCAAGACATTCTATATCCAATGACTGTAATACATAAAGGGAAAAATACACTTTCCAGAAATAGCATAGCTAATCTTTCTTAGAGAGTTTCCAGAAGGACTGGATTGCAGGGATTACAGTGTCCTGCAACATTCCTACAAGACTAGTGATGGGAGACCCAGACTTGCACAACTCCTCCAGTTTCCCCATGTATATTGAAATAGTGTAAGCTCATTGAATACTAATATCAATTGATTATAATCTGCTGTTTTGCTGCTTTGTACCAATACAAATTTATATATTTGAATCACTGATATGCCAATACTATAATGTTGTTTGGTCACAGCTGTGGGATATAGAAAACCCATTTATCTGAATTTGTTTTCCTTTCCATTATCGCACACAACAGAATCACCAACTGAGAGCCATTTCTGCAGTCTTGTACCTCACTGCATGCAGTTTCAGTGATGATGCCTTAGATTTATACTGTGGTAAGGCAGTTGAATTTGATAATAGTAAAATTTGAAGTCCAACATCAGATAAAACAGCATATATTAGCTATGTAACACAGTGTAGCAAAATAAAACCTTGCAATGGAGTAGGGATACTGCATATTGTTTCCTCCCATCTTGGTGCCATGTAATCATAGTAGAAATAGTATTTAAATTTGTTTTGCCAGCACCTAAGAAAAAACAGATGAGTTTGTAGCTCAAGATACTGGCGTATTTGTGAATCCTGCGCATTTTTCCTGCCAGTTTGCCACAACTAGTTCCTTCACTGTCATTCTTTTACAGCTTTTTGTACAAGTCTTGTGTGAGTTTGAACCATTCTCTCACTGTCTTAATTTGTGCTTCTTAACTATATACTGCTTCAGTGCCCCAAAGCTGAGCTATCTGGTCTAGAGGTCCAGCAGTTCTGTGATCCAGAAAAGTTTTTCAGCTTAGTGTATAGTTTATTTTGATAGCTTTTTCATTCAAGTTCTTCATTACCTTAGAGGAAAATTTAGTAGAGCTCATTGGAAACAGTTTTTCCATGAAAATGTATGCAAACACGCTTTTCTGAAATTGGAGAGCTTATTTTCAGTTTGTTTTCATCTGTTTTTAATGAAAATTTGCTTTCTATTTGATTTTCTTCCCCTCACTGTTTCTTAATGACTTGAGTTACGTCTCTTCCAAATCTGAAAGTAAAACATTCTAGACTTCTGGTAATGCTTAAAGTAAATAAATAAATAAAAATAGAATCACACACACAAAGTAAAGTCACCACTGTGGCTTAAGCTTCTGTGTTAGTATGTGCTATGCTAGTACATTCTGGCATGTTTACAGGACTGAAGATCTTTCATTTTAAAGCCAGCCAAACTATTGGGAAAATTCATAGCTGATGGTTGACTTGGTATCCAAAGAAAATGTTTTGAAAGATAATAGTGTTTGACTTATTGATGGGTTCTTTTTAAGGATCAGTTGTTTACACGGAAAGTAATAAGATCTTAAAAAAAATTTTTGATTATTTTATCCTTATAAATATTTTATGGTGAATGGGCTTCTCAAATTCATGTTCAGTTGAAAGCCTTAAAAATGGTTCTTGAAAGGAATGAATAATTATAAGTTCAATTAGAACCACAGTTTTGTTCTTGGGATGTGCTTTTGCTCTGAAATGGAGCCACTCGAAATAGCTACTAAACTTAAATCTTCTGCACTTGATTCATGAATTAATTAAAATATCAAGTGATACCAGTTGTAGAAACTGAGTTTCGCAAAGTCCTTGTTGCGATCATTAAAATGAGATATAAACATCTTGCTCCTAACCCATTATCTGTGTACTTTGGAAAATCATGTGAGCCCTAGTTGCCAGTATAATTAAAGGCTGTTTATTATTTTCCATAAATCAGTGTTCTGTTACCTCATGTTGAATTCTGCTTGGAGTTTGAGTGGAGTTGTGTTTATTCAGGTTTGGCTGACCCATTGTCTCTATAGTCAGAAGCAATGAAGAGGCTTTTAAAAAGTGCATTTCTGAAGAGAGAGAACTCTTGAACAGGTATATGTGGAGGAAAGCCTAAGGTGATGTTTTATACAACATTGTCTGAATTATCATCTTGTTAATGCAGGTTCCAGAATTTTGAGAGAAGGTGAAAGTATGCAATTAAGTTCCCTATTGCTAATTTGGAATGATAGAAATTGAGAACTGGGCTTTACCTTGGACTTTCTTCTGTTACAAGTTTTTGCAGTTTTTTTTTTTATCTATCTAGTGGTTTTCAGTTGATTCAGGCTTGCAGGTTTGCATTCGGAGCAGAGGTAGTATGTGATCTCCAGTTTAGTTTGAGGAGAATAGATGTGACTTGTGTTTGCAGTTAAATAGATGAAACATGGAAGTACGTACACAGAAAAGCAAGAAGTGGAAGGAACTCATTTTGGTGGCAGAAATGGTAGAGAACTGGGATCAGATACAGGAAAAACTCTTTAAGGAGTGACATCTTTGTGAAGGGTAAGGAAGGTGAGATGTAAATTACATGATGAATGGTTACGAGCCGGTAGAAAGCTTTGAAAGGATGAATGGTGTGGTGAAGATAAACAGGGATGAGATATTTTAAGCATGTCAGCGTCCATTTCTGAAACACCATAGAGTGGAGATTTGAGGAAAGCTTTTCCACAATCACACTAGGAGATAAGCGTAAAGTAAGATGTGGTAGGGAAAGAATGAAAAGTTCCACTGGAGGATTTGAGGGAAAAACAGGGAGATGTTGTCATGACTAGAAGGAAGACAGAAGGCAGAAAGGATGGAGAGGCTGTGTTGTTGCAGCCTCTCTGGACAGATGAAGTCTGGTGTGCTGTAGCGAGTCCAGTTGAATTATCAGTGATTTTGAGCTTGTTATAATGCTGTATGCAGAGCAGGTTTGCCAAGGTTTGTGGTACAGGCTCTGGATCGTCCTTTGGAGGTGTTGCACATCTCTACTCTTGTCCTTGGAAAGTCTGCCAATGTTGCTAAGGACCAGAACTTTCCTAGGGCCTGTTGTAAATTTGGTCTTAACGTAGTGGGAATTAGCAAGAAATATAAGTAATGCTGCATAATCTATGAAGTGATTTAAAGCAAAAGGGAAACATCTCTACTGCATGTTCTTACAGGACATATTTCAACAGGACAAGAATTCAGAGAATTAAATGAGAATTCAGTGTAGTTGCTAACTATTGAGATTAGCTGGGAAGTTGGTGTAACAATATATTTATATTTACATATATGTTTAACAGTTGCAAAAATAACTAAATTCTTCTTTTCCAAACTACTTAATTTTGAATGTTGAAACTTCACAGAGATGCATTTACCGTTTGATTCACAGGCTCAAGGTTTTGTCAGACTATAACAGAAAATCTATGGGTACTTTTTCTTAAAACGTGATTGTAAGCAATTTCTGTGAAATGCTATGGTTACAATGATCTTGTTAAGCTTAACAGCTTTAACTGCACATATAATGTCTGATTTGCAAGTACTAACATGTAACCTTTCGTTCTTTTTATTCTGCACCACCTTTCTTTCATTCTTTTCTTCAAAAATTACGCATTTTGTATTAATCACCTTTGAATTGCATCTTCATTGCCATACAACCCTAATGCCATATATGAAATGCTGCTGCCTGCCCTCTTCCCCCACCCCGGTCCTTACACCACCATGGACTGGCTGTCACTCCCCTCCAGCAGACCCATCCCTCAGTCTTCCTCCTGTCTCCTTCAACACACTTACACAGGCACAAACATGGGACAGCTTTAGCTACAGTATACCATCTGAAGGAGACAGTGACAATGGTAGGTGTTCCATACATAATTTACTTATTTTTATGCTTTCAGAAAACTCAGTATGTGGCAAATGTCCCATGTGGCTAAGGATGAAAGCTAGTACTCTTAAGCAAATGTTTATAACACCAAATGCCTCAGGGGACGCATGTTAACTTTCTGTAAAATATGTAGTATTAGAAGGAAATGAGTGGAGAGTGTCACTGTTTTCAAGTCTGGCAAACCAACTTTTCCTGTGATACCCATTCCCTGAGCTATTTCCAATACAGGTATATTTACTACTTCTATTTTCAAGAGTTTATAAAAGTTGCATTCAAGCAGCAATTAATTTTGCTGCTGTCTTTTCTGCATTTATGACTTTTTAAGTAAAAGCTGACTTAAAAATATCTAGTTCCCATCTGCAGTTGTTGATGCAGGTGTATAACTAACTTAATTAGAGAAGGAATCCAAGAAGAAACAAAGCTGAAAGAGTCAGAAAAGCAAGAGACCACTGACATCCATCCAACAGAAACCTAGTCAGGATGGAATCTCCAGCTGTTTGTTACTAAAGATAAACAAGGGTATTGCTGCAGTAAATGATTTCTAGCAATAAGCATTTTTTCCCCAGTTTAGAAAAGAAATCTCTCGATTCTTCTTTGTAATATTGTCTCTTCAGGCATATTACACCTTTTAAGCTGTATTATTCCCTCCTTATGAACTGCTTTTAATTCAGAAATAGCTTTCTTGAGTTACTTTTCTGTTTAATAAGTAAATCTTAGATTTCTTTTTTTCAGAATGCTTTGTTTTTCAGGAAATAAACAATATTTGCCCTGTGCTAACCCAATACTTCTAACTACTCAAATTCTTTGTTCTGTAATTACTGCTGCTAGCTTCAGTTTTGGTGTCACATGCAGAAGTCTGTGATTGGAAATAAAATTCTATAAACATTAAGCTGCTAAACTTCATTATGTTGTTTACATACTTAGTTTTTGCAAGAAAAATCCTATATCAATAATATACTTTCATCAGTTAGGAAGCTTTGACAATACTACAAATGATGCAGTTTTAAAAACTGGTTAAGAGATAAAGAATTGTATTAGTGGAGCTTTTGTTATAAGCAAATTAAGGGCACACAGATGGATAATTGTGCTGGAAAGCCATTTTTGAAGTAAATTTTAACAAGATAACAATCTCCATCTTTTAAATTCAGATTATCTTTTCTTGGTGTTGTTTAGGTTTATTATGGAAAATTAATGTGTTACACCTCTTCAAGATTATATATATCTGTATATATGCTAAAGAATTTTCTGTCATGGAAGGCTGGCAGTGGCTAAGGACTTGGTAACATGAAGGGTTTTCTCTTCATGGCTTGCATGTTGTGTAGTCATTTTACATTTGCAGAATATGGTGTTATAATATATCCCAGTGTAATCTGAGCTTTTACACTCACTTTTACTTCTGTATGTTGACATAAGCTACTATAAATTCCAGTTGTCCTTTACCAATTTCTATCAGTTTATGATTCAGTCTTAATCTTGGTGATAGATTTTGGTGAAGAGTTCAGTAAATAGTATCATCTATGTTAATCTAGATTTGTTATTGTTTTACTCTTCAGGTGATGTGAGCAGTATAGATTACTTTGTGCACATATGTTTAGGGGAGGTACATATCTTGTGTTATCCAAATCTGAAGACAAATGCAATTATTAGTGTTTATTACCTTTGGCAGTTGCAACAGAAAACTATTTCTACAATCTTTCATATTATTTTAAAATCAGGACAGTTGCCTTTCTATTTAGAGTTTTTCAAAGGCTGTTTATTATCTTGGGTGTATCTTACTCTGCTAGGAAGTAAAACGAAGCAGAAATCATTCTACAGCACTGAGATTAATTGGCACAGCATGATTCAAATCCATACCAAAACAAACACTTTCACTTTCCAAAACAGGATGGCTTCATTCAGTTTACTTTTGGTACCTTTGCCTGCAAAGGATATTCCCAACTGTTCCAAGACAACATGTAGGAGAGAGCTGGGATTGCACAGACCAAAACTGTGCCAGGAAGCAATAACTTAATGGCATTGAATGTTCATAGGCCAGTACTCAGATCCGTTCACCACTGCTGTGCAGCTTGGTAGTATAGATCATAGAATCATAGAATGGCTTGGGTTGAAAGGGACCTCAAGGATCATCAAGCTCCAAACCCCCCTGCTGCAGGCAGGGCTGCCAATTTCCGTATCTAATACTAGATGTATATAGTGTAACATATAATATATAATGTAATACTAGATGTAGCCTTTGATATAGAAATGTCATCACAGTAGCATCTTAATACTTTACTGAATGTAATTCTGTGGTGTAGTTTCTGGCTACTGATCTGTAGTGGAGGAGGAGGAGTGCAGAATTTCTGGCAGATCATAAAGTGTGCAACAGGCAGGTCTCATAAGACCACTATCCATAACACAGGGGCATTTCTAATCTAGCAAATAACTAGTATAATAACTTCACTAATAATTTGGTCTGAATAAAACAAGCAAAAATGTATCTGATTGTAACCTTTCAGCTTTACTTCAGCTTTTCCTGTCACTAGTCTAACCCTTCTTGTCAAATATATTAGTAGAGGCAGGTTAAATCGTTTAGGTGCTTTTCTGATGGGTAATGTTGTCAGCTAAGTACTTAGGACACTCAATCCTTGATGAGCTTTAAGTGCATTAAGTAAATATACTTACATGCATTGCAAAGAAGTACAAAAATGAAAATTTTCACAAGGAAATTTCTCCTTTACTGTAATATACAAAATACATACTTTGTGTTTATTAACCATTGAGCTCGTTGAAACTACATAATATATAACTTGATAACTACTGAACTGTGGATTCAGAAAACAAAAATTCTGTTTTACTTTCTAAAAGAGGAAGAAATAGACCCTCAGGTGTGTTGTGATGTGTGGGCTCCCCTTGCTGGAAAACATGTGTAATGCAGAGAAGCAAGCAATACTTCAGAATGCCAAAACCTCCTATATTAGAGTACTTTTTTTTTTTTTTTAATTCAGTAAGTAGCTGAAACTTTTATAACTAATACTTTCGAGGTTTTTTTTTTTTTAACTATAAATTAGTTAATCTTATTTCATTTTATTCATAAACTTCTTCTAATTGCAGTTTCCCATAGCCAGGAGATTAGCCTTCAGTTTTCCTCTTAGTGCATTCATGAATAGTATTGAATAACTAAGGTTTATATTTGCATTTCATTAACAGATGTTTGTAGTCTGAAATCTGAACTATGTTTGGAACATTCATACTGACTTAGCAAAGGCCTGAACAAAGGACAGCTAGAGCCAAACTAAATGAAGACCAATCAATTCTGTGATTTTAAAACTACATTTGACCTTCAAAATTGGACATAAATATTAAATGATGCTTTAATAGAGAATCTGACATGCTGCTGTTGCTACTGAAACTGCAGTGGTATTCAAATACCTTTTAAATATGGTATTACTCTTTGAGCATTTGTTTAAGTATTTAATATGTGGGAAAAAGAATGTTTAGAGTTGTGTAGTGGACTATTTCTAACATGAAATCTTTACTTAAAATTACTGCTTTTTTATGAATGTGGCAATAAATTTTTTTATTATAGAAGTCTTCTATAAATTGTTACAGATTTCCTAATCCAGAAAAATAAATTTTATTTAAGTGCTATTCTGGAACATAATAGAACTCCTTGGTTAAGAGTTTCTGCATGTTGAGAACCTGGGAGTTACTTCAGGACTGAAAAAAAATCATATGCTTCATTAAATAACATTTTAGTTATTTCTAATGGTTTAATTTTCACCATGCATGCTTTCATGTATCTGCTAGCTGCTAGTGTTTAAATTTATCTAAATTAACAGGTAATGCTTTTGAAATGTCTTAGTTAAGTCACGTCTATGGATTGTTATGCTTCATGACAACAGTTGCTACAGCAGTTATTTTTAACAGCCTCTGTATGTTTGGATATGTATATATACAGAAGTCATAGCTGTACATATACCTCTACAAAATGTTAGGAAGCACGTATCTGCTGACACTGAGTGCTCTGTAAACAGAAGTCTATTCCAAGGTGGCAGTTTGCCCTTATGGAAAGGCACAGATTAAATGCCACTACAGTTGTGAAAATCCTGCATCTCAAGGCATGGTTATATTATTCACATTATTTCTGAGAGATCAGCACAAGAAATGATTTTAGTTACCGTGTTCATGTGCCAATGCACAGATATTACATGGTGGTGACATTGGTGAAGCTATGTAGCACACTGCAGGCATTATCTGTAGTTCTGTCCTGCATCTTCTCCCAGGAAACTCCTCCACTGTGCTACTGGGATTAAGGATAAAGGTTAGTAACTCTGTAATGTATGAGTGCTCAGATTAAAAGCAGTTTTGTTTAGCAAATGTCCTTTAATATGGCATTTCCTAAATTTACTGATTTAACAATAGAGTAACAGATTTCAGTTGCCTGAAAAAATAGTTAAATAATGACTCTGTGAGTCAAGTAATGGAAGAAAGCGTGATAACTTATTATTGTGTCTTGGTGCCTTTAGTAAGTAACCTGTGGCTATGTCAGGAGCTCCATCTTTAATAAGCAAGCAACAATTGCTTCCTGTTGGCTGAGCTACCTTAGATGGTGTCTGTTTCCTTTTGGCTAGAGAAATAGCTTATATTATTTTTACTTATTTCACCTGCCTAAAATTAGATGAGATGTCAGGTCAGTGAACTTGTCTGGGATTTCAAAATATTTCTCACACATAAACTTTGTTTTGTATATCAGGAGTCCTAGGTGCTAGAGAATGCAATTTCATGTGTTGTCTCTCTACTGAGTTTTGGACTTCAGTAACATTTTTCTTTGTCAGAATGCAGATGAAATTTCCCTCTATCAAGATCTCAATTTCTTATTTCATTATATATTTTAGGGACTGATTTTGAAAACTATCAATTGAATTGCAACCGAAATAAAAATTGAGATGCCATAATTTTCAATGGATTTACTGTGGTTATACTTGTGAGCACCTACAGTTTGACTAATTCATCTTTTTTTTTTACTGTAGGGGTAGAATTTGCTGATTTGCCCTTTAGGGAAATAAAAGACTGTTCTATTGTGTTACTGATTGACTCAGTGATTATCCTCTCTTGTCTTCTGCAATTTCAGCAAGCTGCAGTCATCCCAGATGCGGCTTCCTTCCTTTCCATCCTCTTGTTGACTACATAATAGAGGAGGAAGAGACTAATCTGGGGAAGGCTATGTTCTCCCTAGCTTCTGGCAGTCAGTTTTGTTCAGTATAATCTTAACAACCATAGCTAGAGCAAAGGGGCTTACTATTTTGAGCTTGGGATAATATTCCATGCAAATATATTGTGGAAAAACTGCTTCTAATGTGTTTAGTCCTCGGTGAGTTAACTTCCTTAGAGAGGTAGAGAAGCTTGTTACTGAATTTGATCCAAGAGTCTGTGCTGATACTTACTGTTAGCAGGAAATTTAGCCAGCTCACAAAAACCAAGGTCACTTCTAAGTCTGTGAGAAATTTCTCTAACCAGGCTGTTATATTTAATGGGTATATCTTCTCTAATAATGGCTCAGCGGGATAGAAATCTGAATCTTTAGCTGTCTTCAATTAATAAAATTAAGATTGAATGGTAGCTGTGTGTAAATCAGGTGAAAAAAGGTTTATGGGCTTTGCACTCTGTTAACTGGTACCCAGGATGTCGTGTTGCATTCAGGAGAGAGGCAGGAAATTAATAATACAGAATCCTTCTCTCTCAAGCACTGTCATTTATGTAATAATCAGGCTGGCACATAAATTGTCTGAGCAGTGACAGTTGCATTTTGTGAAACTGTAATTGAGCACACATCATCTTGTTCTTCAGACCCATTCAAAAAGTCCTTCATCAAAAGACAACATATGCATGTGTGTACATCCAGAGCTTTCATGTAATTATTCCACAGAACTATAAGTTAAATTGTTAAAGTCATACAGTCCACAGACATAGGATTGATGGGAGGGAGTACTGGGGAGTGCTTATGCAATGTTATGTTCACAATATGACTTCTTAATGTAGGCAGACTTACTGAATGACTGTAAAGTTAAGTTTCTACAAATCTAGCACATTATTTTGCTTGGCAGATCATTTAAATGTAACTCTATCCAGTAAGCAGTTGCGTCCAATCTAGGAGGATGCTTGTCACAATTTGTTACACAGCTCACCATATTGTAGGAGAATTCTGCTTAAATGAAATGCTCCCTGTCAAGTTAGATCAGAATGTCTAAGGTACAATGCTAGTGCTTAATTGTCTGACAGAAGCTGCCTGTCACTATTAGGATTTGGTTAAAAAATTAAAAACTCCATTGATAATATTTGGTGCTGTTCAGAGCTGTCCACCTCATGGCAAAGAAAATTTTTGTCAGAGATAGTGCTGAAAGCTTTTGCTTCATTTAGAAACAAATAACTCAAAGTGTTGGTTTTTAAACTAAAATCTCTCCTCTTAAAAATCACAGTGTTCTTAAGACCACAAAGAAATTTGGAATCAATAGACCCACAGTTTACAATTCGGAGGAAAATGGAGCAGATGAGAGAAGAGAGAGAGCTTGTTGAACAGCTGCGTGAGGTATGTGAGTGTTGGGACAACTGTGCTGATCTAACAGTTTTTGTTTTCTTTGGGAAAGATGCATAATTAGGAAAACATTAGAAAACAAAACAAAACAAAAACCCCAAAAGATGAGATAATATTACTTTTGTAAATAACGTGGGCGAGGCCCTTCTTGAAGTGCTTTAGTCCAGTTTGATATTTGTACATAAAGGTTTTTGCAAATGGGAAATTATCATCTGTGTTGCCTGAGTGACATGCAGTTAAAGAGCGTTCCATGTGCTGGTAGAATTAACAGCTTATGTAACTTCCTCTGAAAAGACGAAGTGATCACTTGAGAGAGAGTGATATCTATAAAGCGTTTCCTAACAACTGGAGAAGTCTTCAATCTGGCAAGTAAAAGGCATAATGAAAATTGGACAAATACAGGCATTTTTTGAATCAGATAATGAATGCTTGAAATAGGGTTGATTTTTGTCACTTGAAGGGTGCACATTCAACAGTTTTGATGTGCTAAGTGGAACAAGTCTGCTGTAGTACAGCTGATTTTGAAAAAGTGCAATTTCAACAATGACAAAAAACAGAATAGAATTGGTGTGCTAACAAAGTCTCTAATTAATTAATTCTAATAGAAAACCGTGAATTCCATTCAACAGAAACGTGTATTTTTCAGTGATGGCAAAGAAGACCTTTTCACTATTAGAAAACTTTCAGGCATGGCTTCTTTCAAGTCTACATTTAGCTATATCGTATTTTTTAGTCTTTTCAAAAGTTCAGTTTTACAGAAGACTTCATGTAACAGCATTATTCCAAATCTACAGGAACCAGGAAGTGGTAATAGAAGTGTTGTAGATGGGCTGGACTTATCATAAAAACGCACCCTAAACTCTATGGAACACTCTCCCAACATGCAAATCAGTGTTTTAAGAGAAGAAATTCTTAATTTATTATTGTGTATAAAACTGTTTGTAGCAGGTTTGCCAGTTCTCTCATAAATACCAGATGGGGGAGCATGTCATGTGCGATCATAGGTTTTGTTTTGACCTTGGATTTAGAAACCATCTTTGGTACACAGGAAATATGCAGAAAGTTGCACATAAAGAATTTGAAACGTTTTTCTAAATCTGCTGCAAATTACTTCATTTTGCAATATCAGATTCAGAACTTTGACTTGAAAGAGAATTCTTGGATATGTGTTATATCTGAATGTTTTGTCTTGCATTATGTATTGTTTCATCTGTCTAGCTCTTCATAAGTAGCTGTCAGACTACTGGGGAATAATTACCTTTTACTCTCTGCTCACAGTGTAATTCTGATTCAAAGTACTGCTGATAAAATTTGTGATGGTTAAGTGGAAGTGCTGGTGGAAGAAAGCACCCATGTGTAGTGCAATCACATTACTAATTATTTGAGTGTATGTATGTTTTGCATTTATTTTTATATACATGCATATAAAATTATGACAGCAGCATTGGAAATGTAAACTCCTTTAAAGTAAGTCTACATACTTCAGCAACCAACATAGGCTAAAGGGGCTTTGTAGTTGTTTAATAATTAGTTACCTAGCAAATGGGATTTCCAGTAAACCAAAACTGCATACTTATCTAGTAGCATGGGAGATTAGGAGAAGATATGTGCTTTTTCTTTCTTTATTAATTTCTCTGCTGAAGTGTGTACATGTTCTTTATTTGCAGAACATTGAAACAAGACTAAAAATATGTTTGCCTGAGGACCTGGGGTCTGCTCTCATGGATGGTGTAGTTCTCTGCCATTTAGTAAATCACATTCGACCTCGGTCAGTAGGAAGTATTCATGTACCTTCACCAGCAGTAGTAAGTTGAATGTTTCTTGTGTTTTTCTTTGCTTCTGTAAGGGAGGGTTGTTTAAAACAAAAGAAAAGATCCCTCACAAAACTTACTCATTTAATGTGAAATGATGCTTGCTTACATAAATTGTAACACAAAATGAGAGTTTCCAAGAAGACAGATGTTAAGAAAAAACATTTTCTGAGACATTCTCATCAAGTTTCTTTTACTGTCACTTGGTTTAAATTACTTCTGCTAAGTCTCTGATGAAGATATGACATTGCCAAAATACACAAAACTGAGTTCCTGGTGTAAAATCTTGAAGTTCTGTTGCTGACTTGAATTATTATCTGTAATAGTAAATATTTTAAAACCATTTTCATTTTTTTCAGCTTTGTATCAATGGTATTCTCTTGCTAGAAACAGCTTTCAAATGACTTGAGCCTTGGAAATTAGTCCTTTAAAATCCCTGATGTTATTGTGAATTCTGGGTTTAAATTGGGTATTCAGTAGTTACTCTTGTTTCATGTCTTGTATTGAACAAGTAAAATAATGATTTGGGTGGTATTGTTCGTTGTTTTTTTTTTTTTTACTAACATGGTATTTCTGTAAGTTGTGGAATTATAGTCCCTAGAGAGATAAGTTTTAAACAGCAACAGGAAATTTCTTCTTCAGACATGAAAATTGTGTATAGCTACTTTATATTTGTGTGTACATAAAGCATGAAAAAATGTAAAAGCTATATTACATTGATGTAATAATGTACATTGAAACGTGTCATGAGTTTTTTGCTATCCAGAAAAATAAATGTGTTCTGTCACAGAACATGAGGTTTTAGAACCTCACAAGCTGGAGATTAATAAACAGAGACTTAAATGTGTTGATGACTTTTCTATATAAAAGCATATAGTATCCACAGCTTTCATACTGTGATTGTATTTGAATGTTTTTATAAAGATAGGGAGAAAAAAAAAAAGGCTGAGTAAAATTATATGCTTTGTTTTCAGGAGAAATATAATGGAAATGGTGCATCGATAAAGTAACACAAAAGATAAATTTATTGACTGAATGAATTTATTGATTTCTTTTGCTATAATGTTTTTTTTTCCTGTTTCTGCAGCCTAAACTTAGCATGGCCAAATGCAGGAGAAATGTTGAAAATTTCCTGGATGCATGTAGAAAACTGGGGATACCAGAGGTAATTTAATTGTCTACCATTTCCAGATGATAGAAAATGTAGTGTGTGAATTTCTGAAAGTTGAAGGATAGCTTTATGAAATAGCAGTTATCAACAGTAAAGACTTGATTTCATTTTTTAAATTGTATGATTTAATGCTGCTTTAGTGCATTTACGTGTTTGATGCTACAGCATTTCAGAATGCAAATTCTGTCTTGAATTTGTAATTTAGTATTATCCCCAGCACAGCCTTATATCTGCACTAAGGAATATGGGTATGGCAAATGGGTAATAGGAAGGCAGTAATTAAGCACAAGTTTACTCATTTTTCTGTATGCAACTGTAACTACATTTTTACCTACTGCTTTTAGAGGATGGGCTTCATTCTTTTTAACTGATGATTTTTCCTCCTTTACCATGTGACATACTCAATAGTATATATTGTGAAAGTGACTAATAACACACTCGTACTGAAACACTTCTGCAGTGATGGGAAGAAAACCATTCTGTGTGTTAAGGATGGAATGGACCTGTGAGTGAGTTTGTCCTATATACATAAAGTTGTGGAAATAGGGAAATTGCAGATCATGCTGTTTTCTGCTTTCCATTTAAGGAGAGTAGCATTCATTGGGTAATCTGTTCTCAAATTAATAAGGAAAAATGCCCTTATAAATAATGTAGTGAATTATGGAGTTTCATTGGGAATTGTTTGAAGATTCTTTTATGGTCTAGAAGCATGCTTTAAAAAATTTTTGATTTAAAATATTGGATCCTGAAAATAATGTAGAAGTGTTTTACAACGTCTTTTTAATTGAAAACATGAAAATTGCATGATGTAGTTCCTTTTTTTTTTTTTGCATACATATGGCACTATGATTAAGACTGAATGATTTTTAGCCTATATTTCAAGAATGCTGGAATAGAAGGACATTCTGTCTGTCTTCCTCCTCTGTCACCTCTTTGGGAACAGATGATACTGCAAAGATTTCACACTGGAAAAGAATTCCAGTTTTATTTATATTTTATCTACATTTTAGCACTTCATTTGGAGGAAATCAGAAGTAACAGTTAATTTTTGCTATTTGTAGGAATTTTGAGGGGGAGACTTAACCTTACTACTCTAGAGAATGATTCATAATCAGTGTGATGAATTCAGTGTTACAGGCTGGCCTCTAAGCTGTCATTAAGTAATTTATGGTGTTAGAACTATTTAAAATTTCATTAAAATTTCGTTTCAAAGAAGATGAAGAATTAGTTCACAGTCTCGGTGCTGTGGGCTTATGGACAAAGTAGGTATGGAGTGTTTGTTAATCTGCCCTATTGTCTTGTGATACATTACAAATTATTCACTGAATTAGAATTCACGTCAGGTTCTTTTCCTGGGAAAGAAAAGGCTGAGAGCAGTTGTTGTGAAGAGTTCTTTCAAAAACAGAAATAAAAGAGAAAATTTTAGAAATCTTTGCACCCCATATCATAGAAAGGTAAGCCAACTTGTACACTTTTTTTTTTTTAAATTAGTTCATAGAATCATAGAATGGCCTGGGTTGAAAAGGACCACAATGATCATGTAGTTTCAACCCCCCTGCTATGTGCAGGGTCGCCAACCAGCAGATGCCCAGAGCCACATCCAGCCTGGCCTTGAATGCCTCCAGGGATGGGGCATCCACAACCTCCTTGGGCAACCTGTTCCAGTGCGTCAACACCCTCTGGGTGAAAAACTTTCTCCTGATATTTAACCTAAATCTTCACTGACTTAGTTTAAAGCCATTCCCCCTTGTCGTATCACTACCCACTCTTGTTAACAGATCTGGATCTCTGTAAATAAACTTTCTGGAAGCACACCTTTGTTTTCTGAAAATAGGCTTTTTTGATGTATTTATTGCTCTGCTTTAAAACTTGCATTAAAATTAATGTAGAATTTTTGAAGTTTTGGGCGAGTATTTTATTAAAGCTTTTTTTGTTGCACAGACCCTTAAGTAAAATATCAAATCTTATCGATATGATTTATAAACTATCCATCCTTATGAATCTAAAGAAGCATTACCATCTCTTGAGGGAAAAACTAATGCACTTAAATGCTAAGTGAACTGCTTGCAATTCTAAATTTATGATAAGTACTCTGAGAACATATTTGATTCAGTGCTGGTAATTGGCAAATATATGTTTGCTACATGTTGTGAAAATCCATTGTGTTTTAGAACTAGGTGGTAGATAATAGAATGTTTCTGTGTGCTGGAGGGAGGGGAATAAGGAATATGAAGTTGTGTACCAACTGGCAGGAAGTTTTTGAAGAGCTGCTGATGGTATGTTTACTGCTGCTTCACCTTGCTACCTCTGAACAATGCAGCAAAAGGAATCAGTGAACCCTTCCCCTTTTTTGGAAAGTATCTTATTTGGAGAGATGTTTTGCTGATGGATCCTAATACAGACAGGTTTTTTGTTTGTTTGTTTGTTTGTAATACTTAGGTTTAATTCTCAAGAATTAGCTTGAAAATACTGGTGGATTTTTTGTTTGCTTTTTGAGGATTTCAAATTGTCATAGATCCAGTTGTTTACCTATGGAATGGAGTAAAGCACACACTTTTTCACGAACTCCACAGCTTTAAAATAATATACTATCAAATCATGTAAAAAGCAAACCAGAAATCAGCTATTGTAGTTACTGTGCTGGTGTGAATGGTTTCTTACAGAGTCCATGGTTTTCAGCATTCGATTCTTGTGTTAGAATTGCTCTCTCCAAAAAGATTCTGGAAAACTTTTCTGCTAGGGCAGAAAAATTTAGTAGGCATCCAGATCCACGTGTGTCATGATGAGCCTCAGGGCTTGATGTCTTGACCAAAGGCATAAAAACAGAATAAAGGAAAGAGAGCTTTTCTATGACCTCATATGTAGATGATTCTGAGATTACTTGTGCCAGCTGATACAGCAAATCTGTTAATTACCAGAGGAGAATTTCAGTACAGTGGGTCACCCATTAAGATCACTTTGTTAGTGATCATATGATGCTCCTGATCTTATGCAGGGGGATGTTTTAAGGGTATGACTGACCTTTTAATAAGCAACTAAATAGCATGGCTCTTACTGTACAAGTCATCTAAGGAAAGAGTGAGAATAGCAAGTAGGACAAGCAGAATATGTCCAATTTTGCCACTTTTTTCCTCTAGGGCCTCTTTGATTTCCAAGGAATCATAAATCTTTGTAAGCTATCATTTTTGGAAACAAAAAAATTGTTCTTGATATGAAGAAGTGGTAGTGGCAGATAAGCATCTGAAATCCTGAGGACAATATATTATGCAGTGCCCATGAACTACAACCTTACTTACTAAGAAAAATATGAAAGAAAACTGTATTTTACACTGCTGACTAAAAACTGAAATTGCCTAATCTCTTCTTTAACAACTGTAGAATGGCACATTCCTGATTTTTGGCTGATACTGATTACACGAACAATTGGAAGAAATGTGGCAAGTAGGAGTGCCTGTCCTTTCAGAATGATGTGCTGGGAATGGATTGTCAGTGTCATGTGAACCCACTACTGACACCAACTGTATTGCTTACCATGACCACCTGTATTGCACCTACCAACTCATACTTTCTGGGATTCAAAAATAAAGCTATTTTTTAGCTTTAGTCCCAATTCTAATGCAGTTCTGTTCTTAGTGACACCTTATCTTGGAGGCATTAAAAGTGATCAGGAGAGTCTGAATTACTGTAACATGAGTATATATGTAATGTTATGAAAATATTTAGGTCTCTATTTGGGAGAATATGACTCTAATAAAAACTAGCAACAGTCACAACAATATGACAATATTCATATACATTTGTTAGTTAGAAGAAGAAATTCTCATCTAATTGAGAGATTCATTCACATTCTGAAAATATTGTGTCATTTTTTTTACCAATTCTACATTAGAATATGTATTTATTCTGGTAGCAAAGTAGACTATTTTAATCTACATATCAGTAATATAATTTAGCATTAGTTTTCATTCCTCCTAGTTGTCATTTGTACTACTCCATTTTCTTAGACACTTCTGTTGATGTTAGCAAAAGTTTGTATTCAAAGCAAAAGAGCAGCTGAGTTATGGTGGGCTGAATAATGCTTTCCTACAAGTAGGAAAGCTAAGTTTCCTTAGACAAAAACAAAGCTGTAAATGCAGAGTCTTATTTGAAAGGCAAAAATTGTGCAAGTTTTGGTATGCATTTTTACTAATAGTCAGTGAACAAATATGGCATATCAGATGTAGGACTTTCTAAACACCTTGGCAAAAAAGAAATTAAGCAAATTACTTTCAATGTTTGTGAACCAGATGCAGAAGTTATCTTTCTACATAGACACAAATTATTTCTTACAATCAGCAGTTTACACCAGTGTAATATTTTAACAGTGTGGACACTTGAGATTCTTTTAATGCTTTATGGAACCACTTTACTTCAAAGAAATTAAGTAGAGGCGTTACTTTTGAGAAGAGGTAAGACAGGCTTTCCTTACACATACACAGCTTGTGAATCTTATGTAACTTGAAACAAAGATAGGCATGGGTTATCATCATTAATATTACAATGGTAATTCCTCTTGATAAAAGATGGTGATAAATAATTTCACAGCTGGCTATTACAGCAGATTTACTGAGCTCCTGTGTTTCAGCATGTTAATAGGGGTGAGCAGCATTTAGTAAGACATACAGTTATTTCTTAGGTGGGAATGGGAATCTTCTGCAATGTTTTCCAAGTTTTCAGTCAGCTATTTGGACTACACATATTGAACGGATAGGAGTGATGGTAAGAAATTGCTTTTTTGATATAAAATAACCTCATGAAGACTCAAGTTACAAAAGACTTCAGTGTGACCATTTTGGGGACTTCAGAATCCTGCAGATGAGGTGATTACTGCATCTCACCTCCTCTGAAAACCAATTTCACTTTGCTACGTCAGCCAAAATTTTTCTCAAGATGACTTATTTGTGTCACTGTAGGAATTACTAATTAAGTAAAACAATCAGGGAAAAAAACAGTAGCTTGTTTTGTATTCTAAAGCAAAGTAAAACAATCAACTAGTTCATCTAGTAATCACATTTCTCATTTTAATGCAAGGTATGTTTTCATTGCTGCTTATGTTTCTCTTCTGATCAATTCACATAATCAGTTACTTTTCCATAGTTTCATCATGAGACATCCATGGCGGTACAGTAAGTTTTATCAGGTAGGACACCTTTCTCCACCCTTTCATTCTTTGCTCAGTAATAAATGCTATTTGCCCTACAGTACAGAGTTAAGTGGCTCAGTATTCCAGTTGCAGTATTTAAATCCTAATTATGAGATTCCTTCATTAGTGTTTTGAGTACAGTGCGTAGGCACTACAGACTTCATTCTTTCATCTGGTTCAGAAAACTTACCCTTGTTTTTTTTTTATTTTTTTTTTTTTAGGATCAAAATCTTGGGGGGTTGGTTTTGAAATGTGCATATCTGTTTTCACAGTCACTGCAGGAGCACGTAGAATGAGAGTGGTTTCTGCACACAAACACCTGGTTGTGCTTTTGTCGTTCATTATTTTCTTTCTGTGTTTATTCTGCATGCATGATTTTGGCAGCTGCCTGATATAACCATGTAGCATCCTGGACCTGACAAGTCAGTGCATAAATGTAATGGTAAAGCGATACAAATCTTTTTAGTACTTACTAGTTGATTTCAGTCTCTCAAATGAGAAGGACAATGCTTGAGGTGGGTGGATGGTTGCTTATTTGTTTACCTTTGGGTGGGGGTTGCACTGAAGTAAATATCACATTTTTTCACTATCTCTTGATATCGTATTTTAGTTTGGTATACTCATTTCACTACATGTGTAAAATTATGGTAACTTCTAGTGTTGTGTTACAGAAGTTTAAAATGCGTGTATATTTTAGTTAAGGTGAGAGTGTAACAGCAAATTATTAATTGTTGCAGGACACAAATGTAAGCAACAGTGATCAGAAGTTTCTAAGGCTTTCACAGATGTCACTGAATTTCACTAAAGCACTGCATGACAGTTTCGTAGGAAGTTTTTTCAGCATGTGTTGGCTGTTTTTGTATGCTTTAGCATCTCCTGTGTATTTCTCAGTGTCTTAATCTCTGGGTAGCAAGTTTTTAGGTCGTTTTAAAGAATGAAAAATCAACCTATTACCAGCTCTCCTTCCCTAACTCCAAAATTACTTCCTTCTTCATTTGACTGCAGTACAGACTGTTTTCAGATATGGTTGGTTTCTTTCCTGACAAAAACTAAAAAAAAAAAAAAGCCTCGTTTTAAAGTTCGTGATGGTTTTACAGAAGTTAGAGTTTAAAGTATCTAAGGTATTTCTTTTGGAATATGTTTGTGGCAAGTATGAAATAAGTCTCGTATGTCATTTTGAATGAAAGCAGCATTTACTGGGCTGATTAGTGTCTTTAGTGGAAGTACAATGCATTATTACACAGTCAACGAGTTGTTTCTTTATTGTTTCTTTAAACTGAAATTAGTTTTTCTGGTAAGCAGCTTACAGACATAGATGTTGAATGCAGTACTTGACCTCTCTCACTTTTAAACAACATTGGCATGTTTTGTTCTATCTTTGAGGTTTCATCCTTAAAAAAACAAAGCAGAAGCCAAATATAACTGCATCAGCATTTAATATTGCTCTAAATAACTTTACTGTTAAGAAATACCAACCTTGTCCTAGGCAGTGTTTGTCCCCTTCCATGTGTCAGCTGGCCTAAGTAATATTAAAGTTTTACAGTTTCACTCATTTTCAGTTTCACTAATCACTTTTCAGGATAGAAAAGCTTTTTAAATATTTTAAAGGTTAATTTCTTCCTAGCTAGACATTGAAACATCACAGTAACAGAAAACAGGCATCTGAACTGGAACGTCTGCCTTTGTTTATTGGGAGCACTGTCAGTGCATTAAGCAAGTGAAACTGAGAAACTACTTCAGAAACACAATATTCCTCCTAAACGTAATCTTTTTCCTTACTTGTGTATTTTCTTTCATAAATACTGACCTTCATTGATAGTAAATTCTCCTTTGCATTGGAAAATGGTATAATATTTGCTGCATTTTGAAAGTACATGTTGTTGTTTGGGTTGGTGTAATATTAAATATTCTGTGTATCAGTATTATTTTTGCATATAATGCTTCATTTTGTATAGCTAGCTTAAGATACTTCATGAAGTCAATGGTACTTTGCAAAAAGAATATAGAAGTTAACCTGCTAATACATTTTTTAAATGCTAGTTTAATGTAGTGTCTAATTCTTCAGCTTAGAAACTTTACTAAAGTTAATGATAGTCAGTCGATGATGTTCTCAGTTTTCATCCCACGGTATCATTTTAAAGTGGTATTTGAATACCAGATTCTAGATTGTATGTTATGTTAGAGAATGTTACATACTTCTAACAGTTAAGTATTTTCTTTCCCTGAGATTTCATGCTGCTGCTGCTGCTTGTACTTTTAACAGCTTTCTAACCCACTGTCTGCTATTGTATAAGTGAGATTTTACAGCTGTTTCCATGTAAGCATTTAAGGCATACAGCGAAAGGTGTTGTAGATCCCATTGGGTTAAGTGGATCGCATACACCCTCCCACACCTCTGGACATAACTTTGGAAGAGTCTGAAGGGCTGAGCTCTTCTAACTTGACTTCCTGATATTGTACTGCAGCCTCGTTATATAGAGGAAACCAAAGAAAGCTGGGGTGCCTAGCAACTAAGGCAATATTAGGAAGAAACTATTCCTACATGTTTATGCTAGAATATTGTGATAATTTATCAATATCTTTATATTTTTGTATTTTTAATTTTATGCACTGTTTTTTTCTGTTCTAATGGCTGCCCTTCGGGATAGGCTGACCTCTGCTCTCCGTATGACATCCTGCAGTCGGATATTCGTCACATTCGAAAGACTGTTGACACTCTGCTCGCCCTCGGGGAGAAACCCCCACAATCAACTTCTACCTTTCGCTCCTGGGATCTATTAGGCTTTTGTCTTTTCCACATACTTTTTGTAGTCTTGATGTTTATAACTTATCACTGGAATGTGCTAACAGCATAACCTGTTCGCATGTGCACACAAACTTTCTGCTTTGTCTCTGACAAATTACAGGTACTTAATTTCCTTCCTTTGTCTTACAAAATTCTCCTTTTTCCTTCGCTTCCCTTCCTTGTAATATCTCTGTTAATCTCTTGAAATAGGGGAGAGAGGGATTAGCATCATTAACTGATCTGAAGGCAAGTCCTATCTCTTTCCCCCACTCCAGCTCAAGTTTAAGAACTTACATACCTCTTTATAGTTCGTGTTGCCTAGACTATACACTGAATGTGGTAAAGCATTGAAACAACTCTTATTCCACTTTTGAGTAGGTGTATATCAAGCTAAACAGAGCCAACCCTTTCTAGGAAAAGACAGGTACGCTTTTGTGAAAGGCATTCAGAAGAATTTGTGAAAATCCAGGAATTCTACAGATATTGAAGCAATTGAGGTGGCAGTTCAGCAGATGATAGTATTTTCTGAGCTGCTGCCAATTATTTAAACATGCATTATATTAAAGAGCACTTAACGGTAATTTGAATAATAGTTCTCTATTTTAAATCCTTTAGTTTAACAAAGAGTACTGTAATTTTAAAGATGATTGGTCATCTCTACTGTTCTGATTAAATTCCATACTGGAGTAGTTATTTTCCTACTTATATTTTGTTTTCCTCCAGATTCCGTGGAATAATCTTCTTCCTCTGTCTCACAAAGCAGAATTTATCTGCTTTAAAACACTTGAAGATGACTGTAAATTAGTACTGGGCATGAGGAACACCTCATATGCAAGGCACTTTACAATATTTTAGACTGAAGATCACAAAAGACGGTGTGATACAATGTGATTGAGAATAAACTGTTAGATTCCTTTATCTGTCATTCTTATGTGTGACATCAAGCAAGTTTTGTCACTTATCTTGTCTCTGTTTCATCACCTGTGAAACTGCTGGTAATGTTTGTTTGTCTGACTAGTGTAGTAAACACAATGTACCTAGGAAAATTGATTGTCTAGGAAGAGTTTAGATTTTCCTTCCTAGGAGATTTTAAAGAATTAGGTTAGACATGCTGGTGAGGAAGCCTTCTGGTATCTTTGAACTCTGCCTATGGTTAGAGCACTGGACTGAATGACTTCCATTTCCCTTCCAGTTCTGTTTTCTGTTAATTTATTTGTAAAACTTGAATAAGACAAGTATTTTATTTTGTATCAACGTGAAATACATAAATGGAAAGTGACTGTAGGCACAGTGAGACTTGAAAATTATAAAGCCTCAAGTATAGACCCATATTTACTACTGCTAGATGCTACTGATGAAATTCCTAGTTCAGTGTCAAGCTAGCTAACCAAAGCATCTCAGTTTTGTGGTTGTGAAATAAATATATTTATTTCTCACTGGCTATTATATCCAAAAATTACCACCTATCTTTTAGGAGATAATTAGCATAAGAAATTGTATGCTACAGATTATTCTGGTAATACGATTATGATCTAAGGCTACATTATAAATACTCTAATTCCTTAGATGTTTGTAAAAATGTATTAAAAAGCTTCTAAATGCAGTTCTATTCCAGTGTTCTTGGCTTTAATACGAGAGTGTGTGTGTGCACGTATGAAGTTTGTGAAGGTGAAGTATGTAGTTAGGTACTGTGAGGTGGAAAAATTACTTTCAGACAACAGATAGACACTAAGACCTGTATAAAATCAGTTCTAGCAGCTTCCGGTGCATTTGGATAACGATTCCATTAGTGGCTTCTATGATTTGGCACAAATTAGTTAATTCTTGTAGGTTCTTAATTCCTTTAGGAACTTTGCTAGTTGTTTTGAGTGCATAGCTATGGACTTGTGCCCTCATCCTGTGCAGACCTGTTCTTCTAACTGTACACCTAGTTTCAGTGGTTCCAATAGCAGGCACTCACTAAGTTAAGAGTGTGAGCTTAATGTTTAAAATTCCTCTTTCAGAAGGTCTTGGTTTTGTCTTGTTCCAACAGTGTTGCTTTTCATGAAACTGAGAAAGTGACATAAATCACTTCAGAAGCTATTAATGTACGACTACTTATAAGCCAGTGTATGTATTTGAGGCAAAGTCCATGTCTTTTGTAGGGCTGGATTTTCACCTGTGCCCTGTGTGGTCAACAGGTCTCCTGTTAATGCTTTGTGTTGTGCATTTCTTATGTAGAACCAATCCACATATATGAGTATATTTTAACGTTTTTTGGAATGAGAAAGTGGCAAAAGTTTTTGCTACTGTCTTGTAGTTCATATCTACGTCGCTGTCTAGTATTATGTGGTTATTCACAGTGCTCAGTAGGTTGGTAAGAAAAATAACAGATCAGTCTTGTAGAGGTGTGTCAGCGTAATCAACTGCTTGTGTGCTTGTGGTGCATGATTCTCAAACTTATCCAAAGTCTGAAGTATACATATGCTTACCATGCAGACAGTTGTCTTTAACTTGGAGTACATTTTCTCGCTTTTCTCAGCCTTAACAATGTACAGCAATTCAAGTGTATCATTACAAGCAATATTTGGAGTTACGGAGTTGAAGCCATCTTGAACCTGACTGTGAAAGATGTCCATTGCTCTTGTGACAAGCACAGCCATACATACTGTACATGAAGGTTATCTGTTTTCTGTGTTTTTTCTGGTTGTTACTGATAACGCTTCAAAATACACACAGATCTTAAAGGGAAAGAGGCAGTAGAATATATCCTTACATTTCATTAAGAGTGAATATAGTAATGTTTCTCAAAATACTTTCAAAATGTAGTAAGGGTATGAAAAATGCCAGTATTTTCCTCCCTGAAGACAGTAATTCTATTAAACAGGGAGGTGGAAGCCACAGCAGGTATCTAGTCTAATGGACTCTTTGATGAAGTCAGAGTCCTACTTCTGTGCTATTCTTCCTGTGGTGATATATTCAGGAAACCAGGAGTTCTGCTGGCTGGTGATCCTTTACCTCTTAGGAGATCCCAGTATTGAAATGTTATACAGAGCTGATGTTTACAGTCAGTCGCCTGACTAAGGGGATAAATTTGGGTTTTAAAACAACCTAGGCTGTTGTTCAACGTCACATTTGTTCACCACTGACATGAATTACATTCCACCTTGTTTTTTCCCCATTCTGTTGTGTTTGTTTGTTTGTTTTCCTTGCAGTGACAGCATGGTCATCAGAAATTTTCAAACTGTGATTTCATCATAAGTTTATCTGCTCATATCTGTACTATACCCACTGTATTAATTACTTTTTGATCCTCTGGAGATCATCACATCCTTAGTGCAATAAAGTAATAAATACAGATTCTAATGGAGTAATTTCATATGCATGCAGGTAAAATATGTTTGCACTGGATTACAGCTGGGATTTTGATGCGAGGATTTGGCTTTGTTTTTCCTTGATCCAGAAAAAAGATAAATATGTTCAAGTGCAGTGTAGTAGAAGTTCAAATACCTTTTTTCTTCATTTATCTATTAACAAGCTTTTACAGCTGCGATCTGTTTGTAGATCCTACCAAGTTCCTGTCAAGTTCAGTGGAAGTCTACACTTAATGTGAGTGGAAATTTGACTAGACCCCAGTAAATACATATTCAGTCCAGTCCAGTCTATTCCATAGACATAAGTAAGTTTTCTAATTGCTGTGTAATTGTTTTCACAAAAAAGAACTACTTTTTATAATCTTATTCCTGTTACTACAAAAAATTAAAGCACTCTTATATACAAGTTTAGAAAAAGTGGTAGACCAGGCTTTATGCTCCATTGTCATTTCCAGCACATAATCTGCATAATGCAGAAAAGAGCAATATTAAAAAAAAAATCAGGTAATGATCCATTCTTCTTGGGTGATACAAAACATTCTCATTCTTTCACTTCATCTCTTAGATTTTAATGTATATGGTTATGATATAACTGGTATCTCCCCTGTAAGTATACATTTTCTCTTACTGTTTAATGTGTGTGTGTCTTTAGTAAACTTCTAGAGTTTTCTGTTCCCTCCAGATTCAGGTCAATGTTTTCTTAATGTGTTAGAACAAAGCTATGAGGCATTTTGGCAAAATATATTGTTTACCTTAAAATTGTGTGGCTGAAAGCCAGGATTTGTAAAAGGGTCCAAAGCCATCATCTGCAAATGCAGTTTTGTAAATATTTGCAATTTATTGCATGTTCAGAAGATGCACATATTAAGATATCTCTTTGGCTAGAATTCTAACTACAGAATTGCAGCTATAGTAATGAAGTTCTGGGTTGTTGGTTTATTTGCGTTTTTGAATCTGATCACAAGTGTATGATTCAACAAAACGTACTAATCTTTCCTTTGGAAATTAAAAGAAAAACTTGATGAAATATACCTGCAGCCTGGATTACTGTGCTTTTTGATCTTCTGGTCTTTTCTGTTGTGTTTCAAATGGTAACTTCAGGACATTTGGGCATATACAGACATCATCAGTGAGACATTAATGAAAATATATTTGCAAAGATATAATTTCATATTTATAGAATCATAGAATCATAGAATGGCCTGGGTTGAAAAGGACCGCAATGACCATCTAGTTTCAACCCCCCTGCTATGTGCAGGGTTGCCAACCACCAGACCAGGCTGCCCAGAGCCACATCCAGCCTGGCCTTGAATGCCTCCAGGGATGGGGCATTCATATGCCTTCATCTAACAGAAATTCAAGACTTATGTGTTTGACAGATTTGCTTAAATGTAAGGCTTTCAGTGACTTTCCATTTCAGAGCAGTTGGCTCAAATGATGAGCATTGCATGGAATTATTTTTATTTAAAAAGAAAAAAAGCGTACTTGGAGAAACTACACATTCCAGTATTTCATTATTTTATGAGTATTTTATTTTTACCTGTTGATCTGAATTACATATTCTACACATCTGAGGAAGAACAGAATGTCTCTTGCCGAATTTGTAGGATTCCATTTCTCTATTTCTGTTTTTGCTAACATCAGGGCCCAAGGATATTTGTTATCATAGTATAAACAGTTCACTACTTGCCCTTCTGACATAATGGCAGCAATTACTTTCTTGATAATGAACTGCTCTGTCTGAGTTATCAACTGTTTGCCCAAGCATAATCCAGTTCAGACAGTTGCTTGACTTTCAAGGCATCTAATGTCAAAGAAAATAGATGTGTATGTGTAAAGAGTCACGTATCCTGTGGTGTATTCTTTGCATATTCCTGTTTCAATTTTACACTACTTAAATCAGAAGTTTTGTTCCAGGAGTAGAAAATTGCCTTGGCAGCACACATACACTTATATGATTGTGGGCACGCTCATTGTGCTGTCTTCTGGTGTTGCTCTGTGCCTGACTGCTGCCTCCTTTTGTGTTTGGATGATTTGTTGTTTTTCATCTTTTGATGAGCTTGCTCTTTTGCTTCTTAGGAGTTTGAAAGTGTCTATTTAAAGTGGTTATGTATCTGTAGAAAATAATGAAGCTCTTCTTTGCTTGTAGTGAGAAAATTTGTACCAAAAACTTGGGTCTACATTTTATACTAGACAGAAAAGAGTGGATTGACTATGAGCCTTTCCTTCTGTGATCGTTTCTAAGCATTTCTAAACTGAGGATTAGTAGCAAATTCTTTTGCCTTTCTGGCTTTGTTCAGGAATGGTTTCAACTAGGGTATTTTTAGGAAAGATGATTCATTTTCTGTATTGAAATTATGTGTTCAGTGCTACTGTAAAATAGGCTGAAATCTTTTCAAAGGTAGTGGGAGATGAGTGAAGATGAGTCATGTAAAATCCTTGGAGACATGGGTGAGTTTTGCTGGTTTATTTTCTCAGAATGACAAGTTTTGAGAGTTCCATCAGTGGCTTCCAGTGGTTGAAGGTATCCACTGTGGAGGGTAAGAGAGAACAAAGCATGGGAAACATGCCATGCCACAGGGACAGTGGTTGAGTACAAGGTCTCAGGCAACTGAGATCTTGACCCAGTGTCGTGGTTATGCAGAAAGTTGAATTCATTGTCTGAATTTCATCCTAAGTAAGATTTGATTCTTCTCTGAGAAAAGTTAAATATAATAAGCCTGTGGTTTAAAAGATAAGTGAGGCAGAATTGGTGAAAGCTGTTTGCAAAGTTTTGAAGATGGTGGTTAGTGCCTAGACAAGCAAACTAATTAATGACACGCTAAGATGTAGTTCTTCAGAAGTGGATGGTATAGGTTTTCACTGAGAGGTTTGGAAAGCTCATCATAGCAAATGCTCAAATAACTGCAGAATTATACAGTATAAATTGAATTTCATCTTCTTCCTAGAAAAGGGAAGGCTGTCATTTGTACATCTTTCAAGAACTAATGCAGAATGATGGATAATATAAAAAGTAACATGTCCTGAATCTTCTGACTGTAGTGCATAGTCGTGCAGTTCTAGTTGTTTGTAGACCTTTTAAATTAGTTTCCCTATGTCTTGTAAATACAGCAGAGGGAGGGAGGTGGTTTTTATGCAAGCCGGATTACTACAGTATATTTAAAAGACATAGATAATGCATTCTCTGTTAAAGGAGGAACATCTGTGTTGGATCAGTTTGTGGGGTATTTTTGGTTGTTTTTTAATATGAAGTGAGGCATGAACTCCTTTCATGCTTTTAGTTAAAATACGTATATAATTGATTACAAAATAAGAAGGCTGTTTCTGTTGCGAAAGAATGACAGATGAAAGAATAGCTCTTAGAATGCTGTATCAAAAAATGGTAAATTTAGAATTTCTTTTTTCTGAAGGAAACGTCCTTAACTCTGTTTTTTACAGCAAAATTTGCTTCAGTAGAAAAATGTAGAATATTCTCAAACATAAATAACTAGCAAGGTAAGTTGTATTAGTCCTGGGTTTTTGGATTAAATCCCTGTCCTTCAGCCTTGTAACACTAAACTGTTGCTTGATTCAGCAGATATTAAATATTAATGCCTTTTATCTAGAGAGGAAAACTGATGAAATACTGGCACGCTGTGTGCCACCAAATCTGTGAAATATGACTCTGGTGTGCTTAGGCACTTGAAAGAAGTCTAAAAGTAGAGAAAGAAGTCTAAAAGTAGAGAGAATAACTTTTAATTCCACGTGTCATTTGTATTCTCAATAAATGATAAATATTTTTTGAAAATTATCAGGGCCAGAGTGTCCTAGACTTTTCTTAGAACTTTATCCTGAGACATCAGATTGGCAAAATATTTTTAGTAAATTTATACAGTTGAAGTAGAAATCTGTTTTACCTTTTATTTGATATCGTTATTTCTACCTTCTTCTGTAGTTACTCCAGCTAGGTTTCAGTTTAGGAGTTTGCATACTGAAAATATTGTCTTAAAATATCTTTCTGTAGTTATCCAGACTAAATACCTTCTTCCAGAGGAATAGAAGGTGAGAACCTTCTCTGAGAGTTTGCAAGCTTGCAATATCTCAGTCACAGAAGGGTGAACATGAACGAACTGCAGAATCAGTTTCTTGATTTCAGTGATCAATTTAGTGAAATAGGAATAGGAATCTGAGTGATGAATTAGACAAATGAGTGCATGATAGGAGCATTCCTTTGTGCTGACAGGACAAATAGCTCTGTCAAAGAGGAGCGTGGTAATGGAAGGTTGGTAATTTAAATCCAAATCCAAAAGCTCAACCTAATCAATGTCTGTGTTAACCCAGGACATTTAGTCCCAGAACAGTGCTGCACATTCCATGTAGATAAATGAATTTTGTCTATCTACTGCAGACCTACTTAGCCAAACTCTTATAAAATTATTCTCTCTGACATTGTTTCTTTGGTCTGTACGTGCAGAAAAAATTTGCTTGGTATTTTAGGCTATCATCGTAGAATCGCAAAATGATTTTGGTGGAAGGGGCCTTAAAGACCATCTGGTCCCAACCCCCTGCCATGGCAATGCCACCCAACAGCTGAAGCTGCCCAGGGCCCCATCCTACCTGGCCTTGAGCACTTCCAGGGATGGAGCACCCACAGCTTCTCTGGGCAGCTGTGCCACTGCCTTGCTGCCCTCATCATGAAAAAATTCTTCCTTATATCCGATCTAAATCTACTCACCTTTAGTTTTAAAGTCATTACTCCCTGTTTCATCTCTACATACCCTTGTAAAAAGTTGCTCCTCATCTTTCCTTTACACCCCCCTTAGCTACTGGAAGGCCACGATGAGGTCTCCCCACAGCCTTCTCTTCCCCAGGTTGAGCAAGCCTAACTCCCTTAACCTATCTTCATAGGAGAGGTGCTCCAGCCCTCTGATCATCTTTGTGGGCCTCCTCTGAACCTGCTCCAACAGCTCCATGTCCTTCTTATGTTGAGGGCCCTGGAGCTCAATGGAGTATTGCAGGCAGAGCCTCATGAGAGAAGAGTAGAGGCCAACCCTTCAGCCTCCTTGCTGTGCTTCTTTTGATGTGCTCCAAGATACAATAAATCTTAACCCATGAACTTTTTTAATGGGCAAAAAAAACAAACAAAAAAAAAAACCAGCAACAAAAAAGATGAATTTTGAATGTTAAAAAATCCCCCAAACCTGGAATATACAGAAAACATAATTTTAAAAGTGACCATAAAATACAAATAAATTAGTTATTAGTAGCAGATGTCATAGTTGTGGGAAAAAAAAATGACTTTTCAGATACTGTAGTTAATAAATAAATTTTGCAGTTTTGTCTCAAGTAGACTTTCTGTCTTAAGCTGTCCAACAGCCAGGAGTTGGAACAGATCTTTCTCAAACTAAACATGGATGCAGTTTGGATAGGGCTCAAATGAAATCCTCTTCTTGATGAAGGTTTTATTAGCCATTACTGTGAAATTTTTCCTCTTAGAGGAAGAAAAATCTTTGTTGATGGATCTCCCTTTGAGGTTTTGTTGTGGTCACAGTCCAGGGCAAAGTGGTTTCAGTTCAGTATGTGTGAGAGATGAAGAACTGCTGTGAAATGGAGTTGGGCTGATATTGTGGTAGTGGGTGATCAGTTTTCCTCATCTCAGAATGGTCATCAGTTGGGTGCCTCACACGTCGTCATAGTTACCGTGTTGTGTCTTGGTATGGAAGTGAAAAGTGAGTTGGTAATATTTTCGGACTCTCTTTTGAATGAGTTGCAGTGAAATTGGCAAAAGTTTAAGAAAGTGTTGGTTCTGCATGAAGGAGATCATGAGAAGAGATGTTGAAGAGATGAGTGATGTCTAAATTGGAGATATCTGTAGAGTGTGTGTGTAAGGAAATGGAACAGATGATCATGGATTATATACAGATAAAATAAGAGACTTTTAGCTGACATCTTTCACGTCACCAGAAGTGAGAATACTCAGTAGAAGACAGGCAAGCAATCACAGTGTAATCTCAGATGGATCCACAATTTCAGACTAGAAGTTTATTGAACAGCTGAAAGATTAGGTACTGAGAATATCAAAACAACCCTACTTTTGTTAAAACAAAAAATCAGTATATGACTCTGCTGATGGTCATGTGTTGATGCTAGAGAAAGAACAGAGTAGATCACA